AGAACACCTGATTATTTAATTATTTAAAAAAGGGACTTCAGCCAAGAATGGTCCTATTTTACCCTCCAAATGTACAGGTATTCATACTTATCATGAAATTGAAAAAAAAAACATTGAATGAGTTACAGGTTGGGAGAATATGCCTTGGTTAAAACTATGTTCAAATGTATTACTGTAATCATTATAGTGTTATGCAGAACAAAGTCATAACTGTCATAAATGAATAAAAAAAACACAAAGTCCACATTTATTCATTTCTAGTTATTTCTAGTTATTTTAATTAAAAGCAATTCAACAAAAACAAATCTACATTAACATTCAGCTGTTTAGAAGTGCAATTGAAACCTCCACAACCACACAGAGGCCTCTGAAGATTTCCTGTTTCCCTAGGCAACAAAAGTTAGTAGCACAGAAGTCATTCATCTTGATCAGAAGGCTGTTTGAAGACTGTAGGCAAATGGTCATTGTTTACAAGTTGGGGACTGGCTACATATACAGTATGCCTACTAGTTTCTACTGTAGTTTTACTTAAGGTTATTAAAGCTTTTATTAAGATATTCAGAAATGTAAAACAACCCCGCCAGGAAGAGCACAACTATATCTTAAGACCACAGGCTGTGAGACAAGTGGTTTGGGAGACTTTGATCCAATTGAACATTTTTGGTTGAAACTCAAGAAGGCAGCTCACAAATGGAAATCAAAGGACCTGAAGAAAGAGCAGTGCCGCCTGGAGGAATGATTAGAGATTCCTCCTGTGTCAGACCCTTACAGTCCACTACAGGAGGAGTCTTTGTCAATCAGTTTAAATTGTTGTATAGCATCCTTCACAATAAGTTGTCGCAGAATGTCATGTCAGTGTAATTCATGCCAGAAGAAGATTTACAAAATATTATGAGTACAGTAAATGTGTGAATAAATGCGACCCTCATGCTTTCTGGAATCAGCAGGAAACATTATCCAATTTGTAAATCTTTGTGTAAAAATCATTTTTAATTCCTATTTCATCTAGTATATTTATAAATCTTGAGGGCATAGTATATTTTTCGTTTTTATATCGGTGCTATGAAGAAGTGCATAAGAGTAATAAAAGATGAAGTGTCTCAATAAAAATAGTTTTAGGATTTACAGTATAGCAAAAAGGATATAATTTAAATAAAAGTACATGATGTTAAAGTAATCGAATATAACAGAAACACCATATTTAGAATCTTGTGTGCAATTTTGATCACCACACTACAAAATAAATTTTGCTCCATGGGAATCAGTCAAGTAACCACATACAGTACAGGCTAAAAGTAATGTCCAAAACTGACATTAGTTCTACTAGAAATAGATCATTTTAGCCTTGAACAGAGAATGCTATGAGGGTTTCTGACTCAGAGAGCCAAAACTCTTTAAAAGCATTACTACTTTACTTAAAGTGTTGTGTCTGGAACACATGTTGTTGAAGACGGTAGACTGCATTAATGCTGGTAATGTAGTATTTTTAATGTAGCAAGCCAGTCTCATACTTCTTATTTTACTTTTATCCCTGTTTCTGTCTGCTAACTCTGCACTGCATCCACCTTTCTGAAAATTTTGTCAGCTACTATAATACCAATGGAAGTGTGCCAATTACTACTGCTTTCGGGAAATGCATAAGATCAATTATTTTGCAAATGCTGAAATGCCAAGAGGCTTTGACAGTTTAAGATGAGTTTTGGTAACAGACCACGTCCAACAGTGGCCCCGGGTACTATTTTCACTGATATATAAGGCTTTGAAAATCAAAACTTTGTTATGGAAATAAGTCAACTTTCTGACGACTTATCTTTTGAGTCTTGCACGTCCTGCCCCTTGAGCAGGGCAGAAGAGAAGAAAAATAGTGCTGCTTAAAAGGCTCCTACTGCAGAAGTACAGAACTTCTTTTTGTTCTGTAATTAATTTCAGATAAAAAATTGTTCCCCCCAAAACACCCTGGTTTCTTTCAATAAATGGTTTAGATCATTTAGCTACTAGCAACTAATGAGCTAGATGGGCCAGAAAGCTGCCTCTCATTTGTAACCTCCCTCCTGTTCTTGGGTACATGTAAGTACAATGATCTAATACAGTTCTGCCTTAGAGAATGGCATCAGCACAATCAAAAAAAATCAAAAGAAATGCAAATACTAAATGTTTATAGATTTTCTATCTATATATATTAAATCTCTCAAAATCTAACTTAAAAACACTAGTTTGGTTATGAGTGAACTAACTTCTGTACCAAGCTATTTTCTTTGATGTACATTCTATATCTGACTAACTAGAGTATGTATGAGTCACTTTATATGTGCATGTTATTTCCATTATTATCAGCAAATGACATTTCATTTATATAGTATATTTTATTTGCACACATGTATTTTGTTTCTTTAAAAAATTACACAGACATACTGGAGCCTGTATTCCCATAACTGAGACATATCTGGCTTCTTTGTCTTATGCATATTTTTATTACAACATGGAGACTTTCATAATTTAGTACACACATTACCATAAGGTAAAATTTGAAGAGTGTTTTAAACAGTGATTTACAGATCTTTCCTTTGATTTTGGAAAGAATGCTTTAAAAAAATAAGCATGTTGAATTGCTGTTTTATTACGTGATACATTGGACAAGGTGTTTCCAATTTAATGTAAGTTTAACAGACCTTTTGGTCAAACACATGTTAAATGACTCACATTCTTAAACAAGAAAACAAGAGAGTGTGTGGTAGATGGACTTTTAAAAACTGGCATAAACATTCTTCCCTGAAACAATCTAATCCCAAAATTCCCACACCTGTCAGAATCAGAATTGCTTCCAACGCTACTGGGGTGTGAGGCAGAAAAACCAAATAGAGCTGCAGTCTACTATGTGATCTACTGTCTCAAAAAGTAACCCTCTAATAATATATATTTTTTAAATGTCTGCTTATTACTGTACATGTAATAAATCTGTCATGGCAATAAAGCTCATTGAATTTGAACTTGATTAATGTGAACTTTTACAAAAAATTATCTTTATTTCCCTCCCCTTCAGAAGTGCAACAGGCTGGGCATTTCATAGTACTGGGAATCAGTTGTTCAGCACTCCCTTGAGGTAGAGAATATTTTTTTTCAGGATCATCTTATCATTGTGTATGGAGCTGGCTGATGGGGGCCAGTTTGTGGCAGAGTCAGTAGCTGTGCAGATGTGTTCCCCAGTAGAATGGAATTCCGGATTTTAATCATCATTGATTAACTAAAAACTGCACCTGTCATCCTTGCTCTTTAATTTCCCATTATCTTTGTGTGGTTCCAAGTCCTTCATTTTAAGGACATCCAGGCCAAGTCTTTCATGAGTTGGTGTCAATGGTGCATTTTATCTACTCTTCTCTTGATTCTATGTCAAGAGACTAAGGCTTGACTTGGTCTGGCTTATCGTGCAAGCCAATGCTCGCTGTGCTTCTGAGAGCACACTATGAGCTTATTGGAGTTTGGACATCCCTGTTTGTGTGCTCTGCTCTGCGATGGACTGAAATCCTGTCCAGAGTATTGTATACATGTATACATGTATATATTGCATATACCATGGACACATAACAGCTAAAATTGAGTTTTATTCAATTTAAAAAATGTAACCTCAATTTTGTGATTTTTGTGTTTTTGTGAATTTTTGTGATTTTTGTGATTCTTGTAATTTTTGTGAGCTCGTAGAAAGACATTTAATTGCCAGCAGCTACTGCTACACGCCGTATTGTTGTGCATTTGATAAATAAACTTTGATTTGATTTGATTTGATTTGATTGGTCCAGCCTTGCAATCTGTATCTCCACAATAGGCTCTGGGTGGCTGCGACACTTACAAGGTATAAGTGACCTTCTGATAATGGAACAATACAGTGTTTTCCTTTAATTGTTGTTCACTGTCTACACTGAAGCAGAGAAGTGTACAGCAATATGATTAAAATCAATTTCATGCCTCCGTCTCCAGTGTTCAGCAGTTGACCCCACATCTCCCTCTTACTGTTTCTGCCTCTCTTCTAATTGCACTCCTGCTCTCCAGCCTCTTGAGTTATCTGGCATCCAGCTGTGTGCCAAACACACTAACTACCCATCTGAGCTCATCAGAGGCAGATCACGCAAACGGTGCTAATGAACATGTCCTTAAATCTCACCTGGACTTTGAACCTTGCATTCATTTATACCAATTAGTTTTTGTGAGCCAACTGTAATACTTCAGTGTGAGTTGTGTACAATGGAATCTTTTTTCAGTGAAACATACTGTACTGTACCTCTATGAACCAAAATGATCCTATGCAAACACAAAGGTATTAAGTCCATAATAACCCAGTTGTCTTCATAAAGGAAAAAAAAAGGTCTTTGTTTCAGAAAATACCAAGTTCACCATATCTAAGCTGTAAAAGATGATTGTAATGATATTTTTATATCCTCAACAGAATGTATGGAACTTTTAAAACAAAAAAAATATATATTTTTTAATCCAAACAAATGCAGTTTTCTTATCTTGACACACGGTTCATGGTAGACAATATCAAAGAAAACCATTACAAGAACAAGAACAAGAATCAAACAGGTCTCAACCTCCAAGAACTCTGCCCTCCCCCCCACCTCAAAAATATAATACCTTAAAGCTTTTTATTATAATACCTCATAATACCTTAAAGGTTTTTATTGTCCTTTAAGCCTTTAAGGTTTTAGGGTTATGCTAGAACTATGTGGAGTTCTTATCTAGTGACTCTTTTCACTTGGGCAGTGCAGCCTGTGGCCCTCTATTCCATTAGAGTATCATAGCATCTGCTTAAAGCATCAGGAATATGCAAGAGGGATACAGTATCTGCCAGTCTGCCCCAGGTCTTCTGTGCAAAGGAAGCAGCGCTGCAGGGAAACAGGTAGCAGGCTTTTGCTATGATGCCAGTGGAATAACAATTTCCAATGCAATGGGATAGTGTTTAGAAACAAACATTCTTTATTTGGAAAGAAAAAAACAAAAAATCCTAAAATGCTAAAACAATACGCATATACATACAGTATATAAAATGTTTATTATATACAAAATCACAGTCTGCAGTACAAAAGTATTGAACCATTGTACGACTATAATTTAAGTCAGAGTCCCATTTTGAAAACCAAACAGCAGAGAAATGTCAGCCTTAATTCTTAAGGCTGGATAGTACAGTGTGTCTACAGTACGTACAGAAAGCTAACGCATTGTATTTTCCAATGCCATTAATACGAACAGCTGTGAGACTAATCCTGCTTTATTACATCAGAGGTGTTTTTGAAGTAAATCAGTAATGAATGTAAATTGAAAGTTAATTTTGTACCCTGTTTGTTTACATTAAGATACACTTCAACTGGTGAATTACAGTATATTAAAGGGTTCTGCTTGGCTGATTTTACTAATCATATAAACTTATTAAGGTCTGGTGAACTGAGGCTCTAAACTCTAAACAAAGCACATCTGTGTACCTAGTTTCCAAAGAAACATCAAAACGAAATAGTTATTTGGCAACAAGACCATGATTGTTTTGAGATTTTGCCATTATGCAGCATGGAAACTTGATCACTGTTTTAAATGTGTCTTAAAGTTCTGTAAAAAAACATGTAATTTATAGGAAAAAAACTGGAGCCACAGATGCTCTTTGGAATTGATTTCTGCAAGTATTGTAAAACATTACCAATACAAAAAGAGCAATCTGGGTTTTGTAGTGAATGCTTATTGCAAAGATTATCAGTCTGAGTTATAAAAAACTATTTACTTCTGTCAGGGTCAATTTTCAAACAATATACTACAAAATCATCCATTGGAATTAATCTTAGTATAAACTGGTCCTTGAAAACTCCACAATACTACAAAATGTTTTTTTCGTAGTTGAAGTTATTGTTGTGGTCACCAAACTAAGCTTTAAACCATCACATCTGGGAATAGGTTTAAAATGAATACACCTTTATTATTTTAAAGTGTAAGTTTAAATAAACAGAAAATTCTAAACTTATTTTAAGAATAGTGAACACAATGATTAATTTACATGCTTAAATGTATTCTGGACTAGTGGGGAGTCCTCCCTGGTGTAATCTGCTATACACTTTAGAGTTAGCAACACAGGCAGTGATGGTTCTAATACTGTAATCAGAGCAGGTGAACAAAGAGTACAGTGCTTCAATTTGGAAAATACATGTGGAATCTTTACATTAAAAGAGTCAGAGTCTGTTGAGTAAATCATTGTTCCCATAGTACCTTTTCTACAAACGCTTATGTTTATGTGCTAAACATTTCCGGTCTCTCTCTTTGATATGTTAATGACTCATGTTTTACCACACTCATTACTGCAAGTACCCAGATGTGTTCTAGCAGAAGTGTTGAATGGCGTTCTGAAATTCATCAGCAATTCAAGCCTCAGAAAAAATGGAAGAATCTTGTACAGTTTGGCACCAAAGGGCATGAAAAATGATCTGACTCTGCCATGTTTTAATAACACCAGCCCACTGATAATAAGGAGATTGTGTAACATGAACACACAACTTAACAAAGATATAGTATGGACAATTGCACTTCTAGTGATATATATATATAATTTTATACCCTTTATGTATAAAATATAATCATTTAAAATTATATTACAATACATGTCAAGTCCACATGACAAAGTCCACACATTATACAACTGCTCATAATAAAAATGTCCAAACTCTGCTGAATCCCTCACTGGAAACCACTGCTGCTCCTGTTGATTCTCTCCTTATACCACCGGCGAAAAGGCAGATGGCAGATGCTGTAGGGCTGGAAGCCAGTGTCTTCAGTGCACAGTTTACATTCAGTGTATCAGCCTCTTCCTATTGGAAGCTGCAATGAAGGTGCAATTTTATCTTAAGAGCTCTTCATCACTGTAGCCAAGACTGAACACTGCAGCACCCAATCAGTGAGCTAATTATATATTTCATATAAAATGTATTTTAATTTTAGAATTAACATATACAGTAAATATAATTCCTTTATTAAGTTTTTATGTTGTCATTGGCAATCATTTTTTTCCCAGAATTATACAGTCACATTTTCACCATCCTGCTGAATACAGGCCACACCTTGTTCCTGCTTCCTGCTGTTCACAGAGGCCCGACATGCTATTAGGCACTGTTGGGTGCTCCAAGTATTCAGCCAAGCTGCTGTTCTGTACAGTACATGCAGCAGTATTAGAATTTGTTATTTAATCACATGGAGGTTTTTTGCTGACTTACCTTCCTGCCACAGGATGTCCCAGCATATCCTCTCCTGCAGGCACAGACATTGGGCCTGATGCAGCGGCTCCCATACAAGCACTTCTGCTCACAGACAGCTGTGCATGGAAAGCAAAAGCACGAACACGAAGACAAGACACATGGCTCATCACTGTGACAGAAACACATTACACATCTTACTGTTGCTCTAATTCCACTTCAGGAACAGGGGGATTTCGACAAGGCTTGGAGTAGTCTCTATTGCACCGTATTTGAAGTGCTATGGCTGCTACAGTTAAAATTATCATCGCTTTGGGAGCTCCTATTACAGTCATTTACTAAATGAATTTGGTAGTGTAGAATGCGTTCTTTCAGTTCATGAAAAATGACTTTATTGTACTCAGGGATTGAACTAAGGCTATTCCTGTTTAAATGTTTTTTAGTTGTTTTTAATTATAATTTTATGAGGGCAAATAGTTTAGGATTTTCTGCTGTAAGCTTAACAGACTTAAAATAAATTACTGTAATAAGCAGCAACAAGCCTTACAAAATAAAACATAAATCATTTTTATTGCCACTCCCAATTTTCAGTGAAGAACAGGAACTGTTTTTAAGTGAACAAAAATATTTGTATAGGAAAGAGTGTTATTTACAGATTGTGTAAATGTTATGTGATGATATTCAGTGATATTGACAAAAATCTCCTATCAGACTTAAACAACTGGGGATCTTCACAAAATATCACTTGTTGCAGAATTGTCCTGGACAGGATATGTATTTGCATACAGTCTCTCAGTTCAACATTAGTTTCAGTTGCAGGCTGGACAGTAGTGGTCACAGACGTGATTATTTTTGCTGTCTAGTTGCTAAAGCAAGAGCATTCCAAATTGCTGGGTAGAGTTTTTTTAAGTTGAGACATCACTGGTGGTGACTGGTCATGTCATCATCAGGTAGCCTGTCTGTCCCCACTTATAACACATGACCTCCTGCTCGGGTTGAAGTCCAGATATACATGGGCACTTCATCACTGGAGATGCCAAAATAATTTATGATGCCCTGTTTCACAAACATGCCCATCTGAACTGTAAGCCTCCTATCTCCTCAGCACTCCTAAGAAGCTGACTAAATGGGGTTAAAAGGTCTCCAAGTGATTTTCCATTCAAGGCAAGATAAACATTATTATACTTTTTCTGAAGGCTTAATTCGAAGCATAATAATTACAGCCTTGCTGCTATACTACATTATTGTGGTTTTCAATTGTGGTGGAACAGAAACTATTGTGTTATGAATTGATGGTTCCTTAACATGATTTCTTAAATGGCATGTTTCCCAATTAATAAACCGAATCTACATTTTGCATGGGTAATTCAAGGAATTTGTAACTTGTCATGCTTGAATGCTGTCCTTCATCACCAGTTTGCATTTGAAGATGTGTTGGTTGCAGTACTTACTGTACGATGTATCAACAGAAGAAATTAACTGGGTGATATGCTTATATAAATTCCATATTTGCCTTGCAGTTTCTTTTTAGGACCACATACTATATCCTCTGTATTAGTCAGAAGACCACACTGATGCAACATTGCTACACAAATATTCATTATGAATGAGAATAATTGCATATTGGATAACGTTATGGAATCAAAAGTTCACTGCAATAACTGGGTCAGGAAATCTAAAAACTGTAACAAATAATTCAATTGTCAGCTTTAACAACCGGCTTATCAGCAGGTTACTACCTCCTATAAATGGGCCAAGACGGCAGTTTCTGGAGCAACTTTAGCAATGAAATTTCAGATGCGGGCTGGGCACGAGCCATGTTTGTAAGGGCTTGAGGAATCCCAGGACTGACCTAATCAGTCAGCTCTTTCATGCAAGCAGAAAACAAAAGGTTCAGTTTAGATGTTTAGAAAAACATGAGAGAAAGACTGCATTTTAAAGACTGAAAAGTGAGGCTGACACTGGCATCTTCTCTAGAGATATATACAGATTCAGTTTCTAGTTGTACAGGCCCGGTACACTTGTATTATGGAGTGCTGTATTTATGTTAAACAGATACTTACGGATTTGGCACAACATTCCTTCCCATCCAGAGGTACAGTGGCAGGTATTTGGACCTATACATTCCCCTCCATTCAGACACCTTTGCAGACAGACGGCTACAAGTTTAAAAGAAAACTCAATAAGCCAGAAACTTTTATATTTAAACCTGTAAAATTAAACATTCTTGTGGGATTTATCCATGACATCCACCACGCTTACTGGCATCGGAGCCTGAAACATCTTGGGGCTCTACTTACGTTTATGGCATCGCTTTCCTTTCCAACCAGATGGACAATCACACACATTAGGACTGACACACCTTCCACTGTTCAGACACATTGGATCACAAATGCCTAAGAAGCACAAGAACGATTCCAGATTCTGCTTCAAGTGGAAAACGGCGAATGAATGCAAATTCAATGGATTGGGCCACAGTGCACTGATTTGGTTCAGTCACCTTTTACCATGCAATGTGTGATAAAACGTAATGGACAGGAATCCTACATAGTATCTGTTTATAAAAGTCTTTCCATTATAAGGCACTATATTCCGCTGAATAATACAAAATAAATGTTTTAATGTCTTAGCGGCTATCTCAGAATATCTGTCAGCTGTTTTTCATATCCATATGGTGCATGTTAAATCACAATATGTTCTATAGTAGCAGCACAATGAAATATTGTATCTTCTGGGCATGCACAAATATTGGCTGACTTCAGTAAACATATGGGACATAATGGATGATAATGTGTAAATTTACAGCAGAACTTACTTTTCTCACAGCGGCTTCCTGTATATCCCTCGGGACAGGAGCACACATTATTCCTCATGCAGTGGCCACCATTTTTACATGGTGGACTACATACAGCTGGAAAACAGCAGCATATGCTTACAGGGAGCTCTATAGCTATAGAGCGACATACTGTATGGTTATTGAACATCTTATCAAAGAGCAATAAGCTGAGAGGTTGGGAACAGTTTCTGGTTGGGAACATTACCTATCTACTGTAAAGTATCAGAGAGCTTACGTTTGTAAAACTTGAAAAACGGAAAGGAAAAAATGTTTAGTTCTCTATTATTTTCCATGACAAATAATTGTGCAAGATCAAACATTTTAACTAATCTATGAATGACCACCTCTTAGGAGTTGTTCTGTGACTTCAGAATAATTATGCTATCTCACACAAAAGGATTATTGCACCTATACACCATGCATGTTAAATTAACTTTAACTGGATGCCAGACCTTAAGCCAAATTGAGCTTTTAGAATTTCCACCCCACAATGTAGTTGGCACAGCTTTCACTGACTGCTTCTTTCCCTCAACTTCATTCTCTTACCTTGGCAAAAGGCGTTCCCTCTTTGCTCTTTAATCATTGTTCCTTGCTAGTACTGAAAACTCCATCCTGCTTAGTGCATTAGTACTCAGTACTTTCAGACATTTGCTCCTGCATGTTTCCCTCCCATTTATTCCATGTCTATTTTCCTTTTGAGTTTACAAAGGATAACAGAATGTCCATTTTCAAAATGTTCTCCTTTCATCCTTCTGTTAAAAAATCTCAGTCTACTTATTTACTTCCTTTTCTCTCCAAAGCTCCAGAGAGAATAATTAAATGTCAGGTGTTTTATCTTTTTCACTAAACACTAATTCTTTGCAGTCTGGTTTTTATCTTGTATATTACACAGAAACCACTTACAGACATTCATTCTGTTCATACTGACTTACTGACTCACAGTCATCCTAATTCTCCTCGGATCTTCATCAGCTTTGACAATGATAACCACACCACAGTTCTCTGTTCTCTCTCTGAGCTTGTGAATTCTGGTACTATTTTTGCCTGATGCCTTTTCCATCTCATTGATCTTTTTGGTAAGACTCTTTTCTCACTTCACTTCGTTTACTTTATTATAGATGTTCAGCAAGGGTCAGTACTTGTAGTTCTCTTCTCTCTGAACCACCACCTAAATTCCCTTCATGTATTTTATTATGGCATCTATACTGATGATACACAGATTTCCTCCTTTTCCTCTAATATATCTATGATATTTTCTCACAAATATATAACTCTGCTTCTCATCCTTCTTGTCCTGTATACAGGTACATTATCTCAAACTGAGTAATCAAATAACTCTGCTCCCTTCCGTTCTATCCCTGTACTGATCTGTTTCCTTCTCATCATCTTCATTAACTCAGCTCAAAACCTTGGCATTATCTTTGATCCTTCCCCATCCTACTCACTTTTTCAATCCCTTCTTAATCTTGCCTGTACATCTGTAAATTAATGCCCTTGCAAGTTCTTATATTATATAAGTTGTTATGAGTTATATCTCACATTATAGAATGTTATCTTATATTAGTTTTATTGTATTACAGTTGTCAGTTGTCTACTAGTAAGTAGAGTTGGTTACAGTTGATTATACAATTGTGACACTTGTTGCATAAACTGTTATTATTTCATATAAGTCACCCTGGATAAAGATGTCTGCTTAATTATTTAAAGGAACAAGTAAAGGTTTATTCCATGCTGAAAAGAAAAGAGACGCAGTGTTTCAGCTGTGGAGCCTTCTTCAGGTGTCAGGTGTCCTCTGCAGCCTATGTATGCTGTCAACAATAAACAAAGTCTGCATTTCCATTCACCATTCTGGCACTGTGATCCGTAAAATCCATGAGGACAGGAGCAGGTATTTGGGCGAATGCAGGTGCCTCCATTTAGACAGACAGGACTACAGGTGGCTGCAGAAAACACATACAGCAGCAAAAAATACGAATATGTCATCAGAAACAGACAAATGCTTTCTGACTTCAAAGAACAAGCAGAAAAAAGCCATATTTCACCATCAAGCTGAGAAATACAGTGGTTCACATTTTGAGGTTGCTTATATTCTTATTTCATCTTTTTCACATGTGTGCATTCATACAGTACATTTTACTGTGTTTTAATTAATGACTGGGCGAAGTTACCTGTCTCGCAGGACGGACCACTCCAACCTGGCCTGCACTGGCACTCATCTGGTGAAACACACATGCCTCCATTCTGACAATGCCTGTTACACACCACTGACAGGGGAAAGGACACCCATTATAATTATAATTATAATCTTTTATGAAACCAGATAAGCCCATTGAGAACCTACTCTCATTAAGGATAACGATCCAGTGCAGGGGCACAAAACACAAAAGCCATACAATGAAACACATACAGTGTTGTAGTATAAAAATTGTTAATTAACATTTCCGTTTACTCAGCTTTTAGAAAAAAAACCCAGAAACATACTGGTTTCACATCTTGGACCAACGAATCCATATGGGCAGGAGCAGGTGTTCTGGGCCACACATGTGCCTCCGTGTTCACAGGGCAGACTGCACAGAGCTGAATAAAGGCCAGAAATGATCATTTCTGTTCCTATCACATGCATGATATGCAAATTCCTGATACATCTTTGAAATGCATTATTAATGTATTCCTTAAGTAGATTTACAGTAAATAAGAATTGGTTGGTAAAGTTCATTATTATGTTAAAGGTCGTGTTGGGAAGTTCTTGAAAATTGAACAAAATTGTTCTGGTGTTTGGTATCTGTAACTGCTCTCATCCTGTTAATCTGGGTGAAGCACGACATGTCTTTTGACAGCTGTTTTCTGACATTGCTCAGCAAATACAATATTTGAAATAACCATAATATGTAGTGAACCCCACTCATTGCAAGGCAATGCCTTTGACTGCTGTTCTGAATACAGACACTGAGACTCTACTGTAGATGGCACTACTATTTTACAAGTGTTGAGAAAAACTCCCAGAGATATAGTGTAGAATAATATGATGGGTCATCAAGTCACATGTTAGCTTCGCTTCAGTGATCTGTCATGTTATTTTCCACTCCTACACACCTGCTGCAGAAACACATTCTTTCACTTTGGGGTCACTTTGTTGACAAACCAGCTCACCTCAATATTATACTCCTTAAACTTTCAGGAAGTCTGTCTTTTACTGCTTTTTTCTGAACAGAGTAGTTTTGGTATTTTATGGGTCTGTTCCTACACATGAAGGAGCAGACTTTCTTTGTTTTGTAAAACTAGAATGTCCTTGTTGAAGTATTACAATACACTTATCCACATTTTTTTTACCAAGGAAAAGCAAATTACCAGCTTCACACGTCTCTCCATGGTATCCTTTTGGACAGTCACAGACATCAGGTGCAATACACTTTCCACCATTTTTACAGTCTGGTCTGCAGATTGCTGAAATTACACAAATAATTGGTAGACTGCAATCAGTTTGGCATGTATGCCAAGGGATAAAGGCCCTGTGCGGAGTCAGAGAGAGAAAACTGAATTCCCAAGCGAATGTATTCCAAATCATGAAGCTAGAGCGAGGTCGGAGATTGGAAACGGTGGGTCAGAAATCCAGGTGGTCACAATAACGAACGAGGAGTCAGAGCAAGTCTCTAACTGGACACGTAGCTCAGGGTGAGGAAACCTCAATAGTGAGTGAGGACAGGTTGCAGAGTGGAAGTTTAAATAGACAAGGGGAGTGAAGTTAATTAGTGAGTGATCGGGTGCTCGTGGGAATGCAGTGGTGTCTGCGTGCCTGCGTGCAGTTTGTGACACAGTTGTGGGAATTTGTTCCCGTTCTTTGTTAAATCAAGTAATACAGCACATGAAGACAGTTGAGTCCTGTAGATGTGATTATCAATTACTTTAGTAGCTTGGTTACATGATGAGACAAGGCAATGAATATAATATAAAGGCATGGCATACTTAATATTTAAGTATTTGTCATAAACTCGCCCTGGCTGACAAAGCATTTGTTTTTATTGGCAATGGTTTGGCATCTGTTCATAAAGAACTAGCCTTCAATAACAATGCAAACCCTTTGTTGTTACTGCAGACTCTTACCCAGATGACAGATGTGACCAGTGTACCCTGGCTTACAGCGGCATGTGTTCGGAGCAGCACACTCCATGTTCCTTCCGCAAGGGTGTCTACAAACAGCTAGTAGACACAAATGAGATATTTATTACTCAAAGCTACACCTATTTAAAAACAGGTTACATGGCCCATTTACATTATACCTAGTATCCTAGTTACATTTAGGATAGCATTTGCAAACTCGCTTTTTGACAAAGACCTTGAAAGTATTTCGTTCAAGAAACAAGTGCTGTACCTTTACACACTCTTCCATCTCCAGTGTATCCATTAGGACATCGCCCACACTTAAAGCCTCCATCTTGGGTGGGTTCACACTGGACTCCATTGAAGCATGGCATGTCAGCGCAGGTGAGCTTCTTTTCCACCATGAAAAGGTGGTTGCTTATCTGAGAGGTGAGGTATGTGTGCAGAGGGGTCGCTACATTAAAGGAAGAGGTGTAAGGTCTTCTAGCTGTTGTGGTCTGGGTCTTAGGCACATGATGAACAGAGGTCTTGGATATCTGCTTTCCAAAGACACTATCATCTGCAAATTCTGTTTCTGACATGGCAGAGGATGAAGATGTAAGAGCAGCGGTAAGAGCAGATGACCATTGGAGGTGTGACTTTGTAGAGGACTGTGCTCTTGTTCTAGTTAATGAAATTGAAGTTGCTGAAGACCTGGTTCTGGCATGTTTAGCAGAATTCTGAGGCTTTGTTATTCTGACATCTTCGCTGTGCGCAGGTGTGTGTTCCTGCAAGGGCTGTATTGTAATACCGACAAATCTCCAGGAGGAATCATTGTGCTGTTGACTTCTAGCTGTCACATGAAGATATTTTGTATCTTGAGAAGAACTGTTGCTTTTAGTGTTTGTCCTAAGGGTGGTGTTTGGAAAATGAGTGGGAGTTGGGAGCTGGTCATAATAATGATGAGGTCTGTCTGGAGAGTTGCTTTGTGTAACAAGTTGTTCTGGTAGAACAATTGTCTCTTTATTCTCATTCTTATATCCAGGATCCTGAGCTTGGAGATATCTTGTTGTGGCTTTATTTGTCATCATTTTAGGCCTGGAAACTTTCTTTTCCACATTTCTTGAGGGTACAACAGGTAAAAGAGGTTGAGAAACTTTATTCGTGATGTAGTGTATTTGAGTATTCTTTAGCTGTGTTAGTCTTGTGGCATGATGAGGAGGAACTGAAAGAAATGTATAAATTGGAGAGTTAACTAAAATTATACAGTGCAAAAACAAAAAACAAATGGTAAATTCTTTCCCAAGAAAAGTTTTCACCATTTTTCAACATCACATAAAAAGGTCATTTATTAAATGGAGATATATTGATGCTAAACTAGTTGTTTGCATTTGAATAGCATTGTAATCAGAATGTCAATGGGAGTTTTAGATTCCATTCTGAAGGAAATAAGGAGATCCTTGCATCATGTAAAAGCTTAGCAGAATGTTGCCCGTTGTCATTTCATAATCTGCTAAACATTTATTTAGAGTTTTACTTCTAAAATGACTACTGCAGTTTTAACAATGAGAACAAAAAATCTGTACGTCTGCCGTACAAAGACTGTTTAATCTTTGGAAATGCAGAGCTTTTTCTTAATCACGCATTCAAAGCAATTTGAGTGAAATTGCTTCAGTTCGGCATAGGCTGAGTAAACACATGGAAAAGCAATGGTTTTGAAAACAGATGCAAAGGCTATTCAATAGCCAGCTAACAGGCTGTGATTTATTTGCCATCACTGATATAAGAAAGGGTGTCTAAACCGTAGCAAACAAACACATTAAACATAAGGAATAACAGCTTTGTAAATGAAAACAAATATGTCTTCTATAATCATGTTTCTTCACAATATAGGCATTAGAATTGTATAGAAATGGCTGAAAAAAAGAGCCACGCACTTTAGCATGATTATTTTGGGCATGTTCAAACTTTGAGAAAAACGAAGATGCTCTATTCCCCACATTACAATGCATTTACAGCATTAGAAAAAGTCCCTTTTGAGAGTTTCATTGGTATTATACCAAGTACCATTCACACAGAAATTGACAGGGATCATTGTTGAAGAAATAAATAGGACATGGTTATGAAATTATATGTTTGAGAAATAGAACTTAGAATAGAATGATAACACACAGCAGCACAGCAAGCTATGCATGTCACAAACTATTTTATAATACAGGAAAACAGATGAAAGAATCACCAGCTTGTATTTTAACAATGAAATAAACACTACACAAAAGTAAATAGGCCCAAACATAATGTCCTTTAATTTAATGCATATTTAATCTCAAACTGCATGAGCATTTACTGTCCGGGACAGTCGTAACAGCTGTGTGACTGAAGGGAAGTGGCCATCTCATCTAGGCTGGAATAATACTTTAGTTTTTTTCAGGTCGCGAAAAATAAACTGAACATATTTTTTACAGGACTAATTTATCATCTGGAACAGTATGTTACAGGACTAAAAATAGGCAATGTACATTCCAGGAAGGTTCTGACAATATAAGCCCACTGGTGATAATCCCACGTGAATATTTTACTGTACTTCTGATAAAATCCAGAATGTAAAGTGATAACGAGTTTTTCATCTTTCTTAAGATTTACATTTCTGAGCGGTCCCAAAGAGCTTAAAGCACTTGGTATTCCCATTTATACTGTACAAGAGTACCGTATTTAGAGCTGTTATACTGAATTTGTATATCCATGATATGTGATTTCTAGGTAGGATCTGTGATAATGATAGTGGTGTACATATTTGAGCAGATCTTATGGTACATATTTGAGCGTCCAGGTGGATGCTGCACATTGGTGGTGGTGGAGGGCATCCCCATGGCCTGTAATGCGCTTTGAGTGGAGTGTCCAGAAAACCGCTACATAAGTGTAAGCAATTATCAATTATTATTATTATATTTAATGTGTCTGCAAGTAATATTTTTTTCAATGTGGAACCTGAACCATAAAATAACAAGTTTTATATTCACTATTCAGTAAAGCACATTTAGGGTCAGGGAAAAAAATGTGAATATGGATTACCGGGCTGTACCAGGCTGTCATAAGATCTGCTCAAGCCCTGCTTTATGTATCATCCTGGTTATTTTTTCCTTATCTTTACTTAAGGTTTACAGCTGATTTTTGGTCACGATTCATCACTTATTTCCACTAAAAGTACCTTCTGCGTTATTTTTACCCTTCAATAAAAAAAAGGTTTACAAGAAAATCTGATTCTTTTCAGTGCAAACAGGAAAGATGCCCATCAGGAGATGGAATCTGATTTTCCTTTTTGTAAACGAACACTTCTCCACAATTCCCTGAAGAATCACCAAAAAAACGGTGAATACACTCTCACCTGCTCCACTGGGCTTCACACACGTGTGGCCATTACCAAAGAGCCCTGGAGGACAGCGGCCACAAACATAGCCAGCGTATGGAGGCCTCCGGTCAATGCACTGCACACCTGGGAAACACGGCCTGCTCGCACACCTGGTCTTGCTGTCCACTGGAGGGGAGGGCCCTGGGAGAGCAAGGGTTCTCATTAGGAGGGAAGGATCACAATATGCACAGTAGCACAAAACCTGCAGCCAACAGCGCCATTTTTAACACACGTTGTAGTTCCAAAATGCAGAGTGGGCAGCAATTAAATCATGTGCACAGCTGCCACTGGAACTAGGAGATTACATTTTAACTTTACTGTATGATTACAGTGTTTTCATTTCTGTAAATGAGAATGTTATTGCTTCTATAAATACGTGGAGTTTTGCACTCATCTCACACACATTAATTCACAAAGATTTCAAGGTCACCTTTAAGTGGCGTAAAATAGTTGCTATATTCAAAGTTTGTGGAAGCAATATAAGATGTAGCCAGTGTTATTACAGTTCTTGACTTTTTATGTAAAAACAATTACATATACCTCCAGCACTAGCTTGCAGTCTACCTATGTCTATTTCTATGTCTAAGGAGATGAGTCAATCACATCCCTCTTAGGGTGCGACCAATGTTTTCCAAAGTAACGCCTCCTGTTCTCATCTCTACAGTATCACTCTGACTTCGTCACAGGACACATTGAGGACAGATTGAGAATCAATACTACGGTGGCCCTTGAAGTCCAGTCCTCACCCAGCACTTTTGTCAGAAGAATGAATGGGGTTATTATTACTGATTCACATATTGTCAAAAACATGAATATCAGCATAAAATGTTTAGATTACTTAATTATAATACTACATTACTGCACATACAGTAAACACAACATAAGGCCCTCAGAGGGATGTGATTGGCTCATCTCTTTAGACATAGAAATGGCACCAGGTAGGCAGCAAGCTGGTGCTGGAGGCTCACACCTGAAGAAGGCTCCACGGCTGAAACATTGAGTTTTCTTTCTTCTCTTTTCACCATGGAATAAACCTATTACTTGTTCCTTTGCAGCTACCCACCTGAATAACTGTATTTATTTGCTTGAGAACATTTTCTGTGCATTTTAAGGAAAACAACATTTTAGGCAATAGCAATTCAGGCATATAAAATAAACCACATTAATGGGAAGTGTTGCTGCTATTGTTCAACTATTGCTCTATTTACTGATTCCTATGCATTTTTAAAAATCACATTCTACAAGTTTGTAGCAGAGAGTGTCTGAAAAATCTTAACATCTGAATTATCTAAACATATGGATATCCATATTGCTTTGATCATATTGCACTGATTCGAAAGTGCCATAATTGAGAAAATAAATATGCAGAACAAGAGGAAGGGAAATGGCTGTTAGGTTAACGGAAGTGCAGTAACTTTTTATCTCTTCGCTCTCACTGATCTCGAATCTCAGAAAATACCATGTCAGACATTTAGCAAAATTGCTATTATGACAAACATCATTAAAGAGTCAGATTAATCATTTTAAGCTACAATAAGCACATTAACAGTCCATTTGTGCGAGATTCTGATGCAAAGTAAGTGGAATTTATTAGCTATTCATGCCACTCACCCTTAGAAATTAGGAATCTATAAATATCAAGATACCATACACTTTGAATGACAGTTCTTTGAATGTCAAACCATTAAAAAACACTTCTGCTTTTTAATAAAATAAAATTATTTTACATTTTCAGAGGCAGGCCATTTTTTTAGATTATTCCTTTATCATTATTTTTTATGACAACATAATTTACATTCATTCAAACAGAGTAGATCTGTGCATTTAAATCATACTCCCTATGACCTCAATGCTCCTGAAACTCTTCAGAAAATGCTGAATTAAAGGCATAGCTGCACATACTAATTATGAAGAAGCTTCAGATGACATACTGCATGTAGTAATAACTGTCCTCTTGGTATGTTTTTTAAATACCAAAAAACAATAAAAAAAAATAAAAAGTATACTTTTTGATATATTTTTTACTTTTTTGGGGGGAATGCTAATTATGCTACTGCAGGACTGAATTCCAGATACAATAATGGAGGGGCAATGAAGGTTAGCTCCTAAGAGGAATGGATGTGAAGAATTCCAACAGCTCTTCTGTATTTCACCTCTAGCTTAACCTCTGCTGAACAACCTGCTGTTTCAGCATCCCATCTCCTCTAAAAAATCCTCCTTTCCTTTTAGGGGCATCAGACACAAGAGTGAAAAATTAGGTAAATTGCCTCATTACTCAAAAACCATGAAGTGTCCATTAGAGACAACTGCGCTGATGGTTTTTTGATTTGGAGTGCTATCAGAAAAACTGAGCTAAGACTTTTGTAACTCTGTTCACTTCCCCTTATCAATTCATGCTTTAATACATCAGATCTAAGATAACAGTCTACATGTCCATCCTACATTATAAAAGGCTCCACTTCAGCATCTGTTTTGGAGAATTAAAACTCAAACTTCAGACACATATTTGCCTGCGTGTAGCTAAAACAAACAGATGTAAACACTGATGGTCTTGTACTCTCATAGCAGTCACTTCTATTGCAAAAGACAATTCATTTTGCTTTACGGCAAACGCAAAGGCTGCCTGTGGCAAGACAATTTCCTAACAGCTGTTTTTTTATTAAAAAGAGATTTATTGGGCTTATAATTACACATTTAAAACTGATTTTTGTGCCATTTCAACAAGGTCAGCACAAATACTCCAGAAAACCGGCAGATTTATGGAGCGGAGGAATGACATATTGTGTTATCTGCATTTACATTTCATCTAGACTTCTGAGTGTGATGACAGGCAATTTGTGGGGATGAGCGTCTATATTAATATTGCTACTGATATGAATAAAGAATTCAGTAAACTCTGACGGTCAGCATATAGGACATCTCATCACACACCCTTGAGCCCTCACTGTGTCTCTGGAAGCTGGCTGTTGGCACTTCTAATAGCTCCTGTGAAACATTGGAAAACACTACAATGTTGATAGGATGATATACTGTAGGGCAGGGGACCACCGCCAAAGGATGCAATGCTTAGTATATGGATTTATTATGGCACAAGAATTTAAAAAAATCAACCATTCCTAATAATTTTCAAATTGTTTCTCAGTTAAAAATAAGTCTATATTATTATTATTGTTGCTTATAGACAACATTTTGTACCGCAGAAATCCCGTAATACCACTTAGAATCAGGTTTTCTAAAGATTGTGGCACTGTGGGTGTCAGCACACAATCACATCTGAAAACAGACTCAACACTCACGCTACACCTTGGGAAAAACACGCACTCATCAAGTCCATTTAAGCTATCTGCTTCTGGACTTCCTTTAAGGGGAACTGCAGCACTATTTGTACATTACAGAGTTACAAAGAATTGGCGTTGATGAGTGTATTTGAAACCACAATTAACATAATAAAATAGATTAAATTGGCGCCAATTTGCCGTCATTGTCTGCAATTCAGAACAAGGCAACAAAACTTCTGGTAACTTGAAAATGGCCCTATTACATTGTAAACAAGCAGGTTTGTGAATACATCTCTTTTAATCCAATAGAAATACTGCTATTAGTTGTAAAACCATATTTAACACACATTTTAACTTAGGTCTTAAACATAATTATGACAGAAAGGACCACTTAAATTGTGAAGATTGATTTTTTTCTATTTTTATCAGCCACTGATATCACTCTCTAACTGCATTCTCTTTTCATCTGTTGCCTTTTTATTGGCAAAAATGGTAGGAATGGCACCTGGTTTTCTCCAAACCAAAGAAATGTCAATACACATGTTCTTTCCTGAATTGGCAATATTTGAAAACTATTCTATTGCTGTTGAAATAAAGTACATGCTTTAGACCAAGCAAGTTTTGTAACTGTATTAATTTAAATATTATGTTATTAAACTGGGACATGTTTCAGATACTTTAACTAGACTGTTGATTTGAATAAGTGCAATTTAATTGAATTCAACACATTCATCGACTGTGAGACGAATACGAATATGCATTTAATTTTCTACAGTAGGAAAGAACATACTGCAGAGGCTTGGAATGAATTTCCATATATTCTGTGCAAACTGAAACCTTATAATAGCATAATAATATGGAACATATTTTTTATTTCATGAGTAAGCTTGCAGTATTGTTATGGAGGACACTGATTAACTAGTCTGTGTATTTAATAGTGAACTGAGCTCACACAAAAAGGCAGAGATGTCAATGGCAAATTAGAAAGCCTTAATCATTTACTAAAGAGCAAGTTGTCCTTTACTTAACCTTATTATATTGAGGTCAGTTTTGGGAAGAGACTGCTCTGTCCAATTAACTAGTGCAATTTTAAAAATACAGCCAGTTTTAATCATTAAAGTTACTACATAAAATCAAACATGGTTGAAACTGTAGAGGAATATATCTGAAGGGCACCACAGGGAAAAATAAATAAGGAGCTGGTTTTGAACAATGAGTTTAAGGAGTGTCATTGTCAAAGAAAAAGGGCAATTATATTTTACTATTCTGTATCTCCAACCCTTTGTTTTTAGCTTACAGTAAGTATATTTGAAATCCCACATAAACATTGTGTTCAAAATAATGATAACACTTGGGATGTACTTGCCTGTATTTCTACTATCGCTGAGTGCATTAACTACAAATGGACCTTTTTCAGCCTCTTTTGGGGTCTCTGGAGGCTGAAGCCTGACACTTTCCATCCTGGATAACTGATCTGGCACACTCTGAGTGTCAGGAGCAGCCGTGTCTATGATGTCCACACGTCTCCGAGCTGAAATAAGGCAACAAAGACAGAAAAAGGTGCAGCAGCAACTCAATTATTCATCGAGCATGTGGCACTCCGGACTGCTGACAGAACTGAGCTTAGCTTAACTACCCAGTCAATTCAGAGAACATGGAATACGCAGCAGAAAGCTATCAACTGCCCAGGGTAATAGAGGAGAGAAAAAGAAGCAGAACTAGGATATGAGCTTTACAACTATTAATCTGAAATTGCACTTCAGATACATTTTATCCCTACACCTTCTACAATATAATGATCTACTTTAGCCCATTTACAAACATACTGTATGTGCAGCTCTCTATAATATACTGTATAGTATACAGCATGTACTGTATAAGAATGTATATTTTCATGTAAAGCACATGATTGTGTTATGGTAACATTGCAACAAAATTTTCTTGTTTTTCAATTACTAGATTGAAATATTAGCTGAACATAAATAACAAAATAATTTAAAAGAAAAAAAAATATATATACTGTAAAACCTCTCAAAAAAGTTATACAGTATATTCAAAGTATGAATTAATTGGTAATAATAACTTCCTTGTCATCACTGGGCCTTTACCTGCAAGCAGCTCATTTTGATGATACAGTTAATACTGTAGATATGTTGTCCTGTACATTTTGTAATTTACAACACAGGTTAAACAAACACAGAAATATAGACAAGATTAAGTTAATTCCACACTGAAAATGTAGGAATGTGGAAATGTGGTTTCCTTGGAGGTGTTATAGAAACCTTTTTTACCCCTGCATCTAAAAAATAATAGGAAACTACCCCTGCAGTACATAGGTGTGTTTCACAAAGACTTGTCTTTCATTTCTCTATTATAAATTACACCTCTTGGCCACCTGGTGGTGTTCATACCATTCTGTACCATATGCACAAGTTCTTTTCATACAGAGCTTTTATTTTAATACAAAACAAATCAGCCACTATGTCCATCATAAAATCACTTTCCTGTTGCATTGTACACACAGGGCAAACAGATAGCTATTTTTCCAGTTTATTAAAAAGTTAGTTGATTATTACAAATGTGTGATGTTACTGGACTGAAATGAAAGATCAGATGTTTGTTGTGTTGTACTGTACTTTAATTGGGAATTTGTTATACAGCTTCATAGAGAAAAAATACATAAGTGTAATTCCCTTGTGGCTTTTAGGAACCGAGAAAGCAGTTTCCAGGATAGAGGAGTGTGTTTTGCACTCACAGCTCCACAATAGGGTTTTAGGGAGCGAAACTGAAATGCAGGAATCCACGAAGATGGAGTGAAGCTGTGATTGATGACAGCAACCAGCAAAAATGGCAACTCAAATAAACCTGAAAGTGTATGTGTTGGAAACCAACCATGAAACTGAAATAAGCAAAGCACAAAATCAGTCAGCTGAAACTCATCAGAAACCACGGAGGTCTAAAGTACAAAAAAAAAAAACCAGAAGCAAAGCTGCAGATAATATGAACATGCACCCCAGCTACTTGAAAATAAAGTAATGACAAAGCAAGTCTTGCACAAATCAATCAGAGTAGCACTGCTCTGGAGCTCCAATCATTTAATTGAGCATGGTTTCATATTATAGCCTGCTTTCTGTTTCATCAACAAACAAGTGACCGCTGTGTACACCGTGAAGCATGTATCATTTTAGAGTCTGAATCTAGAGTTCTCTGTCAAATGGCAACAGGATTGCATTTTTTGATAGAAAAAAACTCACAACATCAGTTTTTATTTTCGTGTATTAAAAATTGTGAGCAAGAGATAATTCTGTGTTGTTCAAGGAAGCCTCCAACACAGCAAAAACAAAACATGATGTTGTATGTCAATCAAAGTCTTTAAATTAGTGATCTCCTACAGAGAGTCATTATTTAATCTTTTCAGCAATGTGGGTGTTTTAAGCAGAGGAATGGCATGACCTGTGAAGTGAAATGTGGACATTTAGTGAATAAACAGTTGCAACACAACAAAAACTGAGCATCATTGTGTAACTTACTCATGAACGTCCACCTCCCAGGGCCCATTCTGAAGGAGGCTTACTTTAGCAACTGCACCACATCACTCTACTTTCTCTAATTGCGTTGGCATTGCTGAAACTCAAGCCACAGAATCTCCAGTTCTCTGTGCCAGTCTGCTGTAATCTGAAACTACTCAGCTCATCTACTTTCACTTAAAGCAACTACTGTAGCTTCTCACAGGTGGTGTAACTAAATTATAGGGATTAAAGAGATCATGAGAGTGATGTATTTTAACATTCAGATAAACATACAGGGGTAAATATTCATCCTGCCAAGACAAGTGCATAGGACATTTCTAACCTTTTAAATACAAACTCAAATTACGTTAGGCTGACAAACTTGCATATTTTGTAAACTATTGAAATTGGAGTTGAACAAAAATAAACTAACAAAGTAGCACGTGAAAACAATCAGGGGAACTGAGACATAGTGTACTAGTGAATATTAGTTTATTTTGTGTGGGCGTGTCTGGTGCAGGGGAGGTTTAGCTGGAAGAGCTCTAGGTAATCTGTGTACCCCAGCTGGGTGCCCATAAAAAAGTTCTGTATATAACACTGACATTCACATGACCTCCCATCTCCCAGCATGCCTGGTGGACAGCTTCCACATCTGAAGGAGCCAAAGCTGTTGATGCAGGGAGCTCCTGGAAAGCATGGTGTCTTCTCACACTCATTCAAATCCTCGTGGCATGTGGTACCTGTAGGAAGAGGTAGCCAGCTGGATCTCCATTTTGTTTCCAACACACTTTCTTCAAAACAGTGGTCAGCCTCAGTGAAGCACACCATCTTTACTGTGTGATTACTTTGCAACACATAAATCCATTTCAAGCAAATAAACAACTGATCACTTTATTGTGGTTTCTAGACATTTTCTTAGCTCCTCTGTACTGTAACATAGTGATACAGTAAGACAGCCTTTTCGTTTTAAAAATGCAAAACAGAGTCAAAGGGCAGGCTGTCTCTGGAGATGGAAATTACTTTGCTGGTTATTCAAAATTTCATACCAATAAATGAGGTCCTCTGCACACTGCAAAAAACCTTTTCCAAAGGAAATAAACAATATAATTTTTGTTTACAATTTAAAAAAAAACATTCCTATATTTCTAATTATTAATAAATCCAAACATGCCCACATTTTGATAAGTGGTCATCCATGGATTGCACGTACAGAAAATTAAATCACAATCAAAAGACACACCATATTTACAATATAAGTGTTTTTCCTTTAATATGGCCATTGTAAGCCTGCTCTCAAATGGTATGAACGTCTTCCCTACACTGGAACAAAAATCAGGCCGTTTATATTCAATGAAAACCATCTACCCATTTATAGGCACTTTGTATATCACTGTGTAGAGTTAAACCAGGCTATGGATGTATGCAACCTCTGGCAGTTTTAGAGGACAAGTGACAGCTCTCTGAAACCAGGAGCCAGATAACTAGAAGAATCCTCCCTTGTAGGGATTTATGATGCAGATTAATAACTGAGTTTCTGCTTTGGGCTGTATTGTATGTCTAGTTCCCTTCATGCGAAAAATCAGAATGCTGCTTGAATTTCAAGTGCTGAAGGAGTCTAACACAGGTAAGTACCATCAGAAAGAAATATTGCTCTGAGCAGAAGAATCTTTTTCTTTCCATGTAACAATGAAAAAATGAGAGTTAATGCCTTAAATGATCAAATAATAAATGAGACTGAACTGAAATATTATCTAGGCTGGGGGCAATTTCTCTGCATGGTGATGAACTTGCCTATGAGGGACAACACATGTGTTTTTATTTTCTCAATATTTAACCAGCTGTGGTCTCTAGTGTATATAGAGTACTACAGTATAAATATCACCTATTCTGGAAATCTAAGAAATAGATTTTACATTTGCTTAACATAAAACTGATACTTTTACTAAAAAGCCTTCTTTTTAAAAATTGTTTATTTTCTGAACTTACTGGCACTGAAATCCTGACAACAATATCAAAAAGACTTTCCATGTCTTTCTGATTTTCTGAAGACCATTACAGTTTACCTTACATCATAAAATTTAAAATCAAGGAAGGAATTCACTTCAGCTTAATGGTACTTATTAACTGAGCTGTAGCAGGGATGTTGAGAGATTTGAATGAGATCTGAAAGCAGTTTTCTTAAACTCCTGCTACAGTATACGCCTGTTATCCTGGAGAAAGACACAGGAGTGAGCACCACAAAATACAAAAATCATTGAAGTTCATATACTTGTGCAATACTGAAGATATGTCTTTTAAACCAGTGATTCAGAAGTGACCGTTATAATACTGTAAAAAATCCTATTTTACAGTAACAGAATAAAGTTAACAGAAAGTGACTGTTTACCTAGACATGTTAGATTTACACATGGCTGTCAATTCTAGAAACATAATAAAAAAGGCTATGCAATTTGGAATGATTAGTAAATGAGTCAAACCTAGGCCTGGTTCACATACTGTATGAAATGCCTTTGGAAAGTAAAGTATAGCTCACCCTCTACCCAGCTGACCCTTTATGATTAATAACATCCTAGTATGGAAGAAAAGGTGCAGTACCTCTGAGACCAACTGGGCACTGACACGAGAAGCCGTTGACTCCATCAACACAAATGCCTGCACCGCAAGGGTTTGATTGACACTCATCGACGTTTTCTTGGCAAAGATCTCCCTTGAAGCCAGGGGCACACACACACAGATATCTGCCACTTCCCGGGGGAAAGTTGATGTTTGTAACACAAGTCCCTCCATTGTGACAACCACAAGGCTTCACTGAAACCTGCAATACAGAAGGAAACAACAAATACCATTGATCTGCCAGTCCAACATCCTATAGTTCTACATTGAGTCCACCTGAATGATCTGCTACAACAGGCTTAATCCCTCTGTGTCTCAGCATCCCTGTCATAGAATTCTATTGTTAATCTCAGGGTGCTTTCTTAAGGTAATTAATTCCCTGTGGCAAGAAAACAGCAGGTTTCATGTAAGATTTAAAAGTGGTGGTTGTTAATTCTTATAATGTTTAGGTCATTAAATCAGAAGCCAGGCAATAAAACCCAAAAATTCATCTCATTAACCCCGGACTCACTTGACTGTAAAAAAAATGAACTGATCTAATGTTGATAATTACTCTTTCCCGACATGTTCACCTCCCAACATCACTGGGAATATTATAACTGAATCCCATCTAATAATTGTTAGTAGGCTTAAAGCAGCTGCTTGCCTCCCATCTGGAGGCTAAAGTGAGAGTAAATGCAAGCATCCATCTTTGTATTAACAGTGACTCTTGTCTATGATAAAATAGATCTTGCTGCGTAGTGACATTTACCATGTGTGATGTGAAATTGTATTGTGAATTTTTATTCCTTAAACACTGTAAGATTAAGACTTTCATATATTTGCATGCATGTACAATATAAGGACATCCTTACAAATTTAAATAGTATATGATTTTTTTGTATAAATATAATGCACATTTGAATATATGATTAGATGGGCAATATTTTACAATTGTTCTGACAATATTTTAAGAGGTGTCTTTTCTTTAAATGTTCCATTTTCAATGAAAACAAATAGGTTTGTTTTCAATGAAAACAAATCCTGCTCAATAAATAAGAACAAATAAACAGTATTTTATGATATGATTAACTTGGAACAACAAATCACATGATAATAGTATGAAAATGTAACTTACACCTTACTTACAGTATAACACTATACTACATCTATTGGCATTCATCAAATACCAGTACAATTAAATCTGCAAATACAGTCAAACAAATTATGTTCTAGTCACTTCAATATACCTTGGTACTAAAGCACTCAGAGATACTCAGGACAGGTACAAAAACATGCAACAAAACACATTCTTAAGGAGGATGTATACTTGTGCAAATGATCAAAGATACAGTATGGTGTACCTGGAGGTAAACTATACAATGTATGCAATTTAAAAAATCAGTTACAAAAAAAATAACATAAATGCACATATGAAAATATGTGTATTTATTCTAATTAAAGGTGAAAGCCACTTGTTCTTCCTATTACAGAGGCATAAAACACAAGTCATGCATTCAGCACGGACACGATGCCAGTCCATCGCAGGGCAAATATACAAACACACAGATTACTTATAGACACCAGTTAGCCTAAGCAGCATGTTTTTGGAAAGCGGGTAGAAACTCCTGCAGTTTTCCAATTTTCATTTCTTATATTGATATATGAAGGATATCTGAAAAATTAAAAATAAAATTAAAGATCATTTAAAATTAGTTTTAAAAAGAAAAATGGAGAAAAGTTTTTTGTTTTTCAGTTCAGTACTATGATGTCCTAATGATTAACGTAACAAAGCAACTATTTTTCAGTGTGGGGCGAAAAACCAGGCTGCCAGCCATATAGAAAGTTTTCCATAAGGAGATATATAAAACACACTCTGCTTTTACCTCCACTGTATATCTGTTTTGTGCGTTACATTCATCTGATACTGTAAATTCAAAGGTTTGGGCTTCTTCTGAATGGACTTTCCAGATGAGAAGACCTGCTGGAGAGAGAGACGCATCCTGTGGGCCTGACTCCAGCAGGAACAGCATGGCAGAGCCCTCAGGGTCCACTGCTGAGAACTGGTAGATGAAATTCTCGCCAGAGAATGTCTGCAGTTTGCCAGTTGGTTCCTGCAGCACAGGGGGCTGATTGTCTAAGAAGAAGAAAGAGATGAAACATTGTAGACCAGCCTCAAGAAAAAAACAAAACTTTCATCTTCATATTACCAAAGTATATCTGATTGCCTAAATGGGAAAGTTCAGTCTCACAGCTCAGACTATATGCTGCTCCTATAGATGCTCAAGTGCAATGCAATGAGTGTGAAATGAACACGGGCAGATCTGTAATAAATATTCACATTAGGAAACTAGTGTTGGAGAACACACATCACACAAAGAAATAATTAAATATAATAAACTACAGATTGCAGAAGCTACAATGCCAAGAACATACAGTACTAGAAATTTAATAGTTTTACCACAATAGCCTTCTTGCATCAAAACTACTCTTTATTATGTAAATACACAATAGGGTTTATAGTAACCAAGTCTATTTTTTTAAAACAAAATTATGTTTGAATTAAACAAACAATGAGTAATTTGGGTACAGGGGATGTGAAAAAGTAAGTTTCATTAGCTTGATTAAGGGGATAACTAGAATCAGGTGTTTAAAAAAACAGATCTTGGGGACTGAGGTTGGAAGGACACACACAGTATAAAGATCATAAACATTGTTAGTTTGGTCTTCACGATACAAGTGTGTGGAAACAAGTCATGCCACAATCAAAGGAAGTCTTTGAGGACATCTGAAAAAGAGATATTGATGCTCATCAGCATGAAAAGGGTTACAAAACCATTTCAGAGGGGTGGTAGTCCAACCAAAGTCTCTCCAGAAACAAACCAGAAAGTCATCAAGGAAGTTACAAAAACACTGAAAGTAACATCCAAGGAACCACAGGCCACTCTTGCCTATGTTAATGTGACTGTCAACTATCACAAACTGATTAAACCAGAAAGCTGTTAATTAAAGGATAACATGGAGAAAACCACTGCTCTCCTAAAAGAATGTTACCGTCTGTCTAATGTTTGCCAAAAAGCACAAACATAATCCACAGAGCATTTGAAATAATATCCTCTTAACAGATGAGTCAAAGGTAGAACTCTTTGGCATTAATGAAAAACATAATCTTTGGCACAAATCAAATATAGTTTATGAACTGAAGAACTTCCATCGTTGTAGAGGGAGTGTGAAGGTTTGGAGCTGCTTTGCAGCCTCAGGACCTTGAAGGCATGTCTTGATTGACACAACCATGGGTTCTACATTGTAGCAGAAGATTCTAGAGGAGAATGTCAGGCCATCCATGGGGGACCTGAAGCTGGACTCAAAATGGGTTTAATAGTGGGACAATGACGCAAGCCAGCATACCACAGAATACCAAAGGAATGCCATGTTTTACCAACCTAAATCCCATCGAAATATTGTAACAGGCATGCATGTATGGCAGCCCTCAAATGTCACAGAGGAGTTCTGCAAGCAGGAATGGGCCAAAGGTCCTCGAAACTGAACTAATCCATGTTACAGGAAACATGTAGTTGCAGTCTTTGCTGTTCCCCATGTAATGAATCTAAAGGTTTACATACTGTACCTTGTCATGAATGGATGTTGAATGTTAGATCATGTGAGGATAAATAAATATTGCACTGTGACTATCATCAGAAAATATATAAATATGGTTTGTGGAAAAAATATATTATTTGAAATATAGTACTGAGTAAAATATTTTTGAAGTGTATTGAAACTCAAGCCAAAATATAAAGCTATCAGAGAAACTGACTATGTACAGTAGTACTAGTGACCTGGCTCTATTATCCAACCAACACACATGCCTGTACATATAAACCAATTCAGAACTTAAGCACAATACAGGAAACATGGTCACACTGTGGTTAAGATCTCAAAATAATAGCAAGATTTTTAATGACGTTACAAGCAGTTAGAAAAAAAATGAAAACACACACAGTACAACCCTAACAATTATATGTTACAGAATGTGTGTTCAAACAATACACCATATTGATTTTAATCTACAGGGATTTTGGGTTATTATCATATTTATGAGGCACTATTAATAAATGATACATAAGTTACTGTAAACACTGTTGCCATTATGGTGTCAGGTCCTACATGAATCATACGTATTATACCTAATGATCTGCTTGCGCTTTCTCCATCATATACATATACAAAATATATAAGAAAAATCCAATTATTAAATCAAAATCATTAACTTACCTGGATAAATAAAATTATTAAAACTTAAGAAGAATCAGAGCAGCAGTGATTACAACAGAAATACCTGGTATAGCATGGAGATAATAAACAACAAATACACCCTGACAGCCCTGATATGTCAGAGACAGATGAGATACAACAATGCCAGTTGTTCCCAAGCTGCACCACATTGGTGATAGGGAATGAGAATTATTACTGTGCGCAGAATAAGATGCGAGGTGACTGAGACACCCCAGAAAGCAGCTGATGAAAAATAGAGGAAACTACTTAGTATGACTAGGAGGCAAGTATTCAAAACATGAATGTGGAACATTAAAATGATGCAGTGTTTAACAAAAATATCAAGGTATCCTAAGGGATCTTTATTTAAATTCGTCTTGCCATTTAGTGCCAGAGTAAAAACACATTTATTTTTAATTGTTCAAACCACCCTGTTAGCTAATGGAAGAAATATCCACAGAATTATATTTTACTGTATCAGTTATTTGCTATAGTTTACAATCAAAGTGAGTCCAGTCTACAGTACATTACAATTCCCAATAAAGAGCCAGATGTGCACTAACTCTACCTTTCTTAATCTTGGCCTGGATTTATGTGTGGCTGAATTGCTTTGTAGCTTTTTAAGTGCATTCAGTTTAATGAATGTTGTTCACATGGCATTCAAAACTTGTCAAAGGCTTTCATTAGAGAAAAAGAGACACTATTGGCATAGCTGACATCATCAATTGTGTACAGGCTGAGAAAACAAGCAGCTACAGTGAAATCAAGCATCTTATTTAGAGACAAAAAGAGAAACAAATTATTATAACAGTATTGCAAAAACACAAGACGTCTTAACAGCTGCAATGCATTTTCATACTGTTTTTCATCTTTTTATTCATTACAAACAAGACTTTGTTGTGTCAACTCTATTGATGACATCCCATGATGCTAGGAGCTATTTCTCAGTCAGAAATAATTCATTATTCCAGGCACTGTGAAATTTGATAACTGGCTGCCTAACACATACTGCAGTTTATCACAGAGATTGTTGTTAAGCATAAATATATAAAAAAAGATTTATATACATTTCAGCTTCTACAATTATATTTAAATATATTAATCAGGATACATAAAATACAAAAATAATTTTATATTAAATATTAATAACCTTTGTAATAATACTAATAATAATTATGCTGTACAGAGCAATGATAAATAGACACATATTATTTTAATTCACACATTTTACTATGAAATAAAATTATATTTTTGTAGTGAGCAGTTAATACATGAAGTGAAGTATATTAAAATTCATGTGTGTACTTTGCCTTTATGTACAAGCTTCTAAAAAGAAACTGAACCATTAAGATTTATTATTACATATGGAAAACTCATTTAGGAAATCACTTTAAATGGTCGCTATTTAGATTATTCAAGAAATGATGCTAAAAGCAGGAAAACTGAGTTTGTGCCTTGGGGGTCATACTGTATTCTATCAGATTCTGTGTATTTTAACTATAAAAAATCTTTGACGTATTTATTCATGTTCTTTGCAAACATATTGCTTCATAATCTTGGACTGTCACAAAAAACACTCATTCTACAGTAAAAACTAATTGTAAATTACAGTTTCCCAAAGGGTAATGACAATTCTGTATAAATCTTTTAATCGATTCTGAACTTTTGGGATCCAAACAGCTGATTTTTGCAAACTGAGGAGAAATGCGTCTGACTTCCAAAGCCAGAATAACAAAAGAGAAGACACAAGTAGCCCTTGGGATCAGGAACTGCGGGGAGACAAGGAGACAATAAAGTTGCCTTACTTTCATTTACAGACCATGTGAACTTTGAACTTCTGGGGTCACACCGCAGGCAAGGGCTGCTGGGACTGGAATCCCCTTCCACAAAACACAACCCATCAATGTTGCAGGTTTTCTCCTGCAGGGAAGGAAAGAGGTTGTTCACAAACATTCAAAATAACAGGGACTCACCCCTTACAATCACCTAAGAGCTTTGGGACACAACTTCTTCATCGGAAGATAGGAAAATAGGGTAATAATCTACAGGAATGATTAGGCCAGGACAGGTTTTGGGTTTTCTCTTTCTCATTCTATGAATAATACCTCTCTCTTTGATTTCTTCTGGAAAAATACCAGTGATAAAAAACATGTATGAACAACAACAAAATACTGCTCCAGATTCAGTTAATATTGATCCAAAGATCATCTGGGCTGGGAACAAGTGCAGAGGCCTCATCCTCTTGTTTAAGCTCCCTGGCTGAATGACTTGTACCAAAAAGCATCTTCAGCCTTTTGTGTTTTATAAACAGACTGTAACCAAGGGACCTGTTAAAATCTTTAGAACTGATGTTTTTTTAGTGAAACAGGAAATGGCTTTTTTTTTTTTGCTTTCCTCAGTTGCTCATATGCTATATGTACATACTGTATTCTGGCAAGTACAAACAGATGCTCTGAAACACTTATGTCATTTGGTATGCAGCTGTAAGACAACAGCTTTGACAACAAAGTCCAGTTTTTCACATGCTTTTCTCTACACTGCTTTCATGCTTAGTAGTGCAAGCCCCTTCCTGTAATAGCTAGCAAGACATTTAGTTTGATTCTAAGGCCACCCTGGAACAAGGGATGAGAAACCGATACCAGCAGCTTCACTGCACTATTGCCTTTGACATCCCTTAGGAAATGGAATGCAGCAGTTACAGTTTTAATGTGATATACATGTTTAGTGTGATCCTGAAACAGACAAAAGACAAACAAGACACACTTACTGTATATTGTATGCACAATCCTTCTAACATGAAAGGGCAAAAACAGCCAGTGGTTTTATCTTATCCCTTTTAAATTACCTTTAACTTACAAAGCCCATTGAGAGAGGACTCGCAGACTTGGCACACACCATCATATAAAGTCAAAACCTTAGGGTCGCTGTACAAGGAACCATCATTAGTTATCTAAAAAGACAACAACAGAAAAACCTTGTATTGAGGTCAGAATTTCCATACAAACACAGTGTACAGTAGAAGGTTAAGCTTGGATATTCGATACATACCGAGCTGAGCTGAGCTGCTTATGAAAAAGGACACATTTGTACATTATTCAGGGCAAACTAACAGCCACTAAATACTCAAAATGCAACCCATAAAACATGACAGAAACAAACAGGTAATTTGGATGGTATTATAGAAAGTCATCCAAGTGTGATTTAAAGTTCTATTAAAATATAAAAGAAACAGAAATAACGATAATATAAAATGATATAATAAGATATTCTGATAATATCACAAAGGTAATTATCAAAGCATGATGGTGTTTTTAGAAAATATGTTGTGCAATAAACAAAAATGTAAATTATATGCAATTAAAAAGAATAGCATCGAATATACAAAATTCAAAACTGGGATCTGCAGTAGAAGCTATCGAGATACAATAAGAATAGGTGCTAGCACTTATTCTTTTAATTTTTCAATTGGACAATAAGAGAAAGATGTAATGATCTATTGTTGTACTTTATAAAGAAAATCCATAAATGTCATGATCAATAAAGTAATGTGTTAAACTCTTAATGCTTAAGGATCTTCCTTAACTGAAAAGTGATGGTTGTTAAGACATTCTAATATTTTTGGACCAGTTGGGTTAATGTTTGTTTGAGATACAGTAATTCAAGACCCTTGAGTTTGAATGAGGCATTTGAAAGTCAAGACACTGAAATGCTCTTTTGTCACCAGCTGCAAAAGCACAACAATATTAATAAAAGAATTGAAACAGAAAAATAAGTCATAAAAATACATTTACCATTCAACCATACAACAACAGTACACAGAGGTCTGGCAGATGATTTATCTTTCTTCTTTATGCATGGACTGGAAATATTTTATGGCGTGCAAGTCCACATGCTTTTCAGATTAAGCAGGAGTAGATATGAAATTGGTCTCACAGACAGGACGCAAATGTAAAGCTCACATAATCACTTTTGCAAGGCAGTCTGATTTTACCTTCAGATAACCTTGAGGTATGCTGTATAGTTTTTTGCAGTACAGCCCTGAGATTTATGTTAATGAGTTTTACTATCAGGAAAGCTCTCTGCCGCCCAAGTTTACATTCGATAAACATGCAGCATGTATTGATGCAAAAGAGGGTGTCAAGCACAGAAAGACCATTCTATTGGCTACTGCTTTCTCCTGTTGCAAGGGCTTGCCAGGATTCTCCTGTTGCTAGTTAAAAGGAAGAATGTAAACTGATCTTTTCAAGACAATGCAGTAAGGTAAACAATGCCAGATTCAAACATATTTAAGATCTACCTTCTTCTTTAAGTGTAAGTACCCCTTAAAATAAATTAATAGCATAGCATCAGTCTAGTTAAAAGTACTAAATTATCAGTGAAAAAAAACTAAACATTTGACTTCAAAACTCGAGAGTACTATGCAAAGAAGAAAAATACTTTCATATTTTATCTAGTTTTATTAAATACTTCTTCACTCACAAATAATGAGGTCACCTTCTAGATCAGAATTCTTCTGGGTGATAACGCCTTCATTGAGATAAACCTACAATGCTGATAAAGGCCATAATGGACAGCGTGGAATGGATAACACCACTGGCAAGTGTAAGCATGTAGAAATGGAACTAGAAAATTAAAGAACAGAAAAAGATTCTTTGATTGTGCTGTTTATGCCATTACTTTAGTACAATGAGGTCCACATTCTAATAGAGAAGGACCCTCTTAAATCTTTAATAGTGAACACTGGTTCCTGGGAAAAGAACTGTGAGTAATCATCTCCACAAACAACCTTATTTTATACTCTGTAAAGGTGAGACTCACAAACATCAGTCATTGCTAGGTAAGTTTTAATACCACCGCAACATCAAGAAATATAAAGAAAAATATTATAGCTTGTTTTGGGGCTTATGGGATTTAAGTGTAGATTTAGAAAAACTCAGGTTTACTATAGTGGTATTTCTATTGTTTTTTATTGTCATATTTTATTAAACTTTTTTCAGGAACACAGAAAAGGAGTCATCATTTACTGTCATTCATCTTATTCAGGCCAAAAGAGCAATTTACTGTAAGTGATAAGGGGTGAAAAGCTAAAATGGGATATTGGAAAATGATTTAGGTTTGACTGATGCTATACAGTATAACCCACATTTGTGTTACCAATTTTTTTACTTTGTGAACCAATTCCCCCCAAATTAAATCTCCTTTAGAGCAACACAATATTTACCTGTATTTCCCATCTCGCAAAAGGCTTGTCATCTACCATAAAGTCCACAGTTTCCATGGTCATGCTGTGCAAAGGAGGAACCACACAGTCCACTGCCTTAGAGCTGAGGAATGTAGCTTTTGTCACCTCTCGACCTCCATGTACCCACTCACTGTTGGTATACTGTGTATGACAAAGAACATCTATTGAAAGCGCATTATGGGTAAATAATCTCAAGAGTTAAAAAAAATCTTACAGATATCCCAATGCAATCCATTAAATTATTTTGCAGAGGGGAAAATGAACGTTTCAGAGCAACAAGATTGTCTGACATTGTTGCCAGACATAAGCCTCAAGAAGCAGCACTGGAAATTCAACAGGGCAGTGCCACTGCAAAGTTCAGAGAATACTTTTAATTGAAAGCTTGCTGCCTGTAAAGTGTTGAAGTGAAGTCAGAGCCTCTGAAGGCTGTATGAGTGCCCCACACTAACTAAATGCCTGCACCAAGCTGGTGAACTACAGGTTCACCACAGGGCTTCTCTACGAAATGTCTATATGTGCCACCAGGAAGCTGCTGAGACATGGAAAATGCTTTTTAGTATTGAAGATCACCACAGGGGCAGAATTAAATAGTTGTAAATGAGAAAATGCAGTTTAAATGACCACCATCCCCTCAGAAACATGATTCTGTTAAACACGAAAGAGTGCAACTATTGTAATGACACCCCTGTATGATCCATATTTGCAGTATTCATTAGGAGTTCATTTTTTGTAAAATTCTACATTTGTTTAAAGAAAGTTATATTTTAATACACTCTTAATTATGTGACTGAGCATATGGAAGGCACAGAAGATTACAGAACGAACAATAGTACAATCTCATTCTAGAATTCTAAAAAGATTTAATGTAACAAATGTGTAGATTTCTGTATTATGAATTCTCATGCAATTCTACAGTGGTAATGTGCTTTATTGTGCATATGGGATTATTATTAATAGAGTGGGACATGCAGCAAAAAATGTCCCATTTCTTTGCATAAATGATTGAGTTTTGCTATTACTACATATAAACAGATGTATATTGTTACGCACATTATGTTAAAGGAAAAGCTTCAGTATGGACCAGTAAATGTTTTACAATATTTAAAATAGTGGATACAGAGTATATGAATATAATGAATGCCACGCCTTAAAGGACCTTACCATCAATCTAGTAACTTGACAGTGCAGGTCTGGGGTGTCTATGAAGCCCAGTCCAAAAGCTCGAATATTGTTGCATTCATAAGCTCGTATATCACAGAGGCCACTGTTCTCCAGGTCTGTTATCTCAGGAGGCTGACCTTTAATCAAAAACATTCCTTCATGATTAAAATAAATCAAAAGCTTTCAATAGGCATTTATATATAGCACATATAATATTTAAACAGCAGTTTAAAAATTAAATCATTTAATTTTAAAAACATTGAAATTTGTTTTTATTCCTAAATGAGCATACCTTAGGCTAGGATAGACTGGATCAGCTGGCCAGTTTGTAAAGACTCAGGTGTCGCCACAAAAATGCGGTTGTAAAGGTTGCATATAAGCCTGGAGCTTAAAAATCACCTGATTCATTGAATTGCCAACATAATTTACCTGCTGCAGATGTGGCCGCTGGTTAAAACAGAACTCATGTTTCACCAGAGAAGCATCTGTGCAGAGGAACAAGCATGTTTAATTAGCGGAACAGCAATCAGAAAAGATAATTATTTTCTGATGCTATGCGCCAACAGGAAACCAGTTCCATCATTCCTCACCTTTTGCAAATCATGTAATATTTTAAAGTGCTTCAGAGCATTAATTGGAGGGTGTCAGAATGATTCAGGTGCAGTAAAATATCATTTGACCCATGGAAGCCTTTTTTTCACAGTTACGTAGATTTTAGTATGCAAAAGAAAAAACAAGTAATATTGAATCAAAATTGATTTCTGAGTGGTCTAACCTTAGGGAATGCGTGGTAACAAATTGCTCTTCCAAACAACAAATTGATGAGGTTCGTTGTCTTTCTGCTATGAGTGTTGAAAAACCCTTCTTTGAGAACAGAGACAGAGAGATCAATGTGATCATGGCTGTCTGAGGTGAAATGAGAAACTAAGGGCTTGGAGAAATCTTTAATCCTCACAGCCCTAGCATGTTCTCTGAAGTGGTCTCCTAGTCTCCCCAGTCTTCTGGTTTCCCCAACGTACATAGCTGGGCATTTTTTGTAGGAGATACAGTAAACAAGTTGCTAGAGATACAGGATGTCATCTGGGTGATCTGGAATTGACCCGAGGGGCCCTGAATGAGCATGTTGTTAGATATGTATTTGCAGGTGATGCAGCAAACTCTTTTGCAAGGGAAGGTGCCTGGTGGGGATGATTGCCGAGTGCAGTCAAGGGAGCTTTGATCCAGAAGTTTACGTACACTGGGTGGTTGGTGGTAAGAGATGATTGAGTGGTCAGAAAAAAGGGCACCGATGGGGGAATTGCCCTGTAAAATGGAGTAGTTGTTAATAATGGTCCTGGGGATAGAAAGTGTGTTAGAGTGGTAGGGAAGCAACAAAGGAATGCGGTTGTGAAACCGGGAGATACTGGTCGAGTTGATGATCCGAGGGCGGTTTTTGACCCGGGTGAGGGCCCTATCGGTAACATGGGTGGGGTATCCTATGTTGATGAAAAAATAATACATCTTGAGTGCTTGGTTCTGGAAATCCATGTCATTATAAATAATTTATTCTCCTGCCTTACTGATATTAAAGATTGGATCACTTGTCTGAAATTCAGGAAACAAGAACTTGGCCTGACCCATCTGCACATAGATGGCTCTACGGTAGGTTCAGCCCCAATGCCTCAATATGTACAGTAATATAGGCATACAGTTTTATCAATAACTCCTTTTTGATTCACACATAAAAAACTTGTCTAAAACAGTTTTTCTCTATCTTAGAAATATTTCCAAAACTGCTAAACACATTTGTTACTGTATATCAATAATGGACAATTCTAATGGGCTACTATCTGCACCTCATCCAGACTTCGGTTTCTTCAAAATGCTGCTGCATATCACTTAACAAAACAAAAACAAACGGAGCATAGAACTCCAACTTTAGATTTTTTACAATAGCTTCCAGTTTGTAATGTAACAGACTACAAACTATTGCTTCTGACCTACAAAGTCTGTCTCCTCTATATTTAAATGAACTGCTGACAACATACACGCCAAGCAGAGCACTCCAATTTAAGGATGGCAATCAGCTAGTAGTCCCAAGAATCACCAAAACAACTGCTGGGGGCAGGGCATTTGGCTATAGGACCCAAAAATTGCAAAACGACTTCCCAAAACATGTAGGATAATTCTTTAGTTTCTCATAGGAATTTCTTGAAAGAGCTGCCAACTTTCAGATTGGGTGATATAATTGTATTCACCTGAAACTATGATCTTCCACCCAGTTACTGTAACACAGTTACTCCTATTGCTCAGACCCCAGAACTAGGATCCAACATTGATCATGCAGGTCTCTATGGTATGCGACATCAGAACCTGGAAAACTGAATCCAAGATGGCAGATCCACAGAACCTCAGCTACTTTATTCAGCTACCCCTGATGGTAGACATAGGACAGCAGGGATCCAAAGCTTTACAGAGATTGTTATGATTGATGAACCATGAACTCATTGCCTGGAGGGGGAGCAACAATCAGGCCTGTTCCACGGAGGTTTCTTCACTCCCACTGGGAGTTGTTTTCCTCTCCTCCTTGTGCACTTGGTCAATAACACCATAAAAATTAACACCATATGCAGATTAGTCAAAGTGGCTAAATTTAAAATCAACAAGACGACATAAATAATAAGTAATAGGTTTATTCCATGCTGAAAAAAATAGTTTATTCCATTTACCCAGCATGGAATAAACCTATTACTTGTTCCTTTGCAGCCTACGCATGCTGACGCAGCTATCCACCTGACATAAATAATACAGAGGATTATAGGATTTTCATAGGCATATTTTGCTGGATATGTTCTTCAATGGCTTTAAATTGACATAAAACTCCTAATTTATTCTGCAATATCCTATACAAAGAAAAAGATTAAAGAGGCAATTACTTCCATGCATGACTTAAATGAAGTGATGTCAGCGTTATTGTAAATGTAAGTAGTTTTAAAGTTGTCAAGGATATCATTATACTTCTTTTAAACATTTCCATTTTCTACAACAGTAAAGTGTCCTCATTGTTATTCTTACTCTAAGTGTTATTTGTATTCTAAGTGCATCTCCCTATTAAAATAAATGTAAAAGGCAGACTTAGAGCACATGTGTTCAATAACAAAAGGAAATAAAAAACAGAACTTTCTGCTCAAGCAGTGAGAACATCTGAGTCAAGTCATATCATCAAACCAGGGTCATAAAGCAGTGCTCTCCAGAACATCACTGTGTGGTATTTCACAAGAGGCAAGTATTGTTTCCCCACCTCTGTTCCAAGGTGAGACAGAATACATGCACATAATGACTGTTGGGTTTTTAATGTGACAGCCAAGGGCATCTAGGAAATAAATAACCAAAAACAGTTTCCTCTCTGATGAAGAATATGGCATCCAAATGAAATTGCATAACCCCTCATTTGTCAGATGAACAAAATAATTTTCATTGTTTTCATATTTTCCCAAATAACCATTGCCATCCAACCTAATTTCTAATATAGGGATTTTCAGAGACCTTTGTCCAGTGCTGGGCAGCTGTGTGAGAATGAGGCTAACTTTGTCAATGCCAGGGGTAACTTTTTCATTCTATAATGTTGCGCCACAGTCAGGAAATTGCATGCTTCACACACTTCAAACCACCTTTTCCTGTTGAATCGTGAAACACTGACGTTTTGAAAGAAACCTTCATTCAGAAGTTCTTATCCCCAGAAAAAAAAAGAGAAAGAGTAGGAATGGTGGAACAGACCTTCAAGAAAAGCGGCATCTGATATGAAGACACAGAGTCTCCTCACCAGCTTCTCATTTAAAGAATCAGGGCTGCTGGGAGGCAGATAGTGAAAAGAGGCTGCAATTGTAATTCTCAGCCTCACTCCCTGTAACATTTTCCATGCATTCCGTGTCTCACTTCTTTACACCATTAAGCACTGTAACAAGATCTGCCTCCTATCACAGTTTCCTTTCCCACAGAGTTTAAAGTGCTGACCTATATGTGTTAGGGTTTTAACTATACGCAGATAAATGCCTGTGAAGCTGTGAAGAGGGTTTCTATGTATTTACAAGGAAGGCCCCAAAGCTGCTGATGTTTGACCATCACATTTCCATATCTCTACAAGCCAGCACACAGTTTTCTACTATCAGACAGTAGAGAGAGATGTCTTGCTGTCTGATGATAAAAAACAATGATACCTGCATTTGCTCTGAGATCGAAGGACATGTTACACATTCTACAGATTGAAACATGTCCTTCTCAGTAAGAAGTCATACAGAATTGCAAATGGCCACAAGTCCTTGGTTGCTACTGAGGCGGTTTTTCAATAGTACAATGGCTGCATTAGCCATATTTTCCTTAGAATTTTGATAACAAGATGTCTGTAAATTTGGGCCACTAATTTTCAAGGAAGCCACATGGTGGCATTGCAGTTAGCGCTGCCACCTCACAGCTCTTGGGTCCTAGGTTCAAACTGAGTTTGTGTGTTCTCAACATGCTCATATGGATTTTCCCTCAGTGCTCTGGTTTCTTTCTAAAAAGAAGCTAGACACAGTAGGTTAATGGTAGCCTGTATATGTACTGTATGTGTTCACTGTGCAATGGACTGGCTATAGTTCTGCCCAGTGACCTTTGCCTGCTGTGCTAGGCTCCAGCATAATGCCCTGCCAGACACTGTCACATCCACTATACAGTTATAGGGTGATACTGTATACAGTACAGTGTTTAACTATAGAGTGACAGGGTGACATATATACTGTATATCACCCTAAAAATTATAGTCCACTATAGTTTATATAGTTTGTCCTCTAGACTGGGTTTTTATAGAAAAAATAATTGCATATTATTAAAAAATTATATAATAATATAAACACAATGATTCAGCTGAGGAACCTTCCTCAGGTTGTGGAGGCTTCTCTTTTCTGTTCTTTCTTTTCACTCTTCAGTGTGGTCATATATTTGTATATTTCATGCATCCCTTGTACCAGGGAGATTACAGTACACATAGAATAACTAAATCAATTAATCATTCTGCACATTAGAAAATTAACTTTAAAAATGTTTATTTCTCTTCCTGTAGGTTTCAAAACATTGATGTATTTGGATATATCAATAGGTGGTGCTACCAGACAGAAATCAGCACTAGGACTGTTCTGTATACTTGAATCAATATTAGCCATACAAGCCATGCAGTACTGAGAAAATGAAAAATATTTTGAAGTGAAAGCAAGTTTAATACAGATATAATTTAAAATACAGAAACATGCAAAGAAAGAGACACTAACGTCCTTTTGGCGATTTAACAGAGATCTCTGCCAAACCTAGCCAGAAAATTGAAATCACTGTTAGCTTCTGATGTGTTAAGGTATTATGCAGATTTATGCATGTGCCTCTTGTTCAGTCCCCAGTTCTGATCTCTATATACAGTAGCTTGCATAAATCATAAACCATAGAAAGGTCATACATGAGAACACAATGATAAACCAAACTCAAAGCTACAGTAGTGTTAATCTCATCTTTGATATGTGTTAAACTATAGTCAGCAGAGATGCACCTCAGGCAGTTAACACCTTGAAAAGGATGCAAGCTCAGAGCTTGTTTCCACTTTATTTAATGCTAATAAGCAGATGATTGAATTCATTGGGCTGAGAGCCAGATTTGTTCAACCTGAATTACAACTTCCACAAGAAGCTAAATTCTAACTAAAGTTAGAACCTGTGAAGAACAATATATTATCACATCTGTTTCCTCTCAAGACAGAAAACATGCTGTGGGACATTACATAGTATACACAAATGTGACAGCATGAAAAAGTAGTATTTGGCTTTGCTTCTACAGATAATTACATAGAAATGGCAGTTATGGTCTTATGATGTGTTATACTAAAAAATGGGTTTAATTGAATTAAGTATTTAAAAATAAAAGGACCTTCAGCCAAGCAATTGGTATCCCATAAAGTCTTGATCCATGGCACACAAAAGCAGTGACACCACATATGTTGTTTAATAAAGTTTCTGTAGCATATCCCTATTCATCTAAATCAGAAATATACTGTACAGTTGCACTACTGTTAGCCATGCACTAATATCACCACTGTAACAGCAAGGTCTTGGATATACAGTACAGTACATTTCTTGATATAATATGTTCATACTGATATAAATCACTAAAGGGCAAAATGTGTTTAGAAGCAATATTCTGTTATGTAGCTTTTTTAAACAACTAGAACAATTAAGTGATATTGTTAGGAATAAGATTTCAATCACAACTGTCAGTGTAGAAGGATAGAAAGGCCTTTAATACTTACTAATAGTAAGACTGCAGTCATGAAAAGTGTGGCCAAAGAAACACTTGCAGCCCCATTCAGTGCAATGTCCATTTCCACTGCAGAAATTAGGGCACCTCAGTGCAGTGATGATTTCTTCCGGATGGCCTGTGTAATGCCCTGAGATCTGGGATTTTCTCGTCCTGTTCTCCAGAACCCTTCTTTCGCACTCATTTTCGAGAAAAGGTAACATGCCAGCTTCCCATGCAAGGTCATCTTTCAGCTGCAGGTCTGAAATGCACATGTCAATGGCCTCCTCTAGTCTTCTTCCCAGGAGGTCTTTACAAACAACACCGATGGTGGAGTTGCCAAGGACTTCCTGGCAGATTTCTAAGGCTTTAACAGATGTCAGACCACTGGGAGTCGGCCACAACGGCTGCACCTCAGGCCGGCTCTGTGATAAGTGATCCTCTGGAAAGAAATATGTGAGGCCCTGCAAATCTGCTTGGCTCAGACTTTGGAATGTGAAGATTGGCAAATGCTCCTGATAGCCTTGTCTCCTCTGTCTGCTGAATGTTTGATTTTCCTGAGCACTGCTGATTGTCGCTGATTGTTTGAAGTCTCTTTTGAAGTACAGCTGAGCCTTCTCGGAAGAAAAATCTAGGCTGTCAACCTTTGGGGTTAAAAGTTCACCTTGACTCTTTTGACTTTCAGGGACCTGCATTTGGTTCCCAGGCTCTTTCACAGTCTGCAGTGTCCCACGCTTCTTGAGGCTACGCTCCCTGTTAGGGCTAAAGATGTACTCTGAGGTAACATCGAGAGAGGGAAAGACTGATGTGTAATCCACATTATCATTAGAGAAGCAGGATGCTACAGGTGAGCGGTCATTTAGACCAGCTGTTGTGTTCACGGCATGGAGAGACATGCTGTTTTCCTTCTGACACTTGCAGAAATTTTTCTTTATCTCTGCTTCAACAGCTTGTGGCATCATGTCAAATAAGCTCTCCCCAGGCGGTATCCTGACAAAAGCACAACGTGAATTAGATTTCAAAAAGTAAGCCACTACATGAGCTTCTAACATAAATATAGAGACATCTCATCCATTGTTTCAGGATTCTACAAATGGCAGATTTTCAGTTACTCATTTTATTGTTAATATTTCATATTGATAGCTTATAGCTGGTAAAAAAAAACAATAATAGTTTTTAATAGTATACATATGATTTTATGCTCAAAATGAAACCTTACTGCTCCACTTTTGATAGCAATTCCATCACTGCTCTTAACATCTCCTGCTTTTTCAGATTCTCCAGAACTTCACATAAACAAAAGAGCAATACAAACAAATAGGAGTGTTTGCTCTGCAAACTGCTAGCACAGCCTGCTATTACACAAGGTTTTGTTCTTAATCTTAGACAAATAGTTTCTGTGTTTTTCATGATGTCTTCCTCTTGGCAGCTTAAACTCAAAGACACAACTCCATCAGAAGGTCAGACAGCAACGGGTGACCAGCAATTCACTACTTCCTATTGCTGTGGATCTTTTTAGATGCGATGATTTGTGATTTCCTACTGTGTACCCAAACTCACTTTTATTACTTATGAGAGTCAATTACCTCCATTCCTCTATGAATTCCTCAGGGTATTTACTTCTATGTGAACCTGGGAATGTAGTGCCATGAATACTGTGGAAGTCATTCTGACTATTTCTGTCAAAGATGCCACACAGGCCTCTGGTATTGTTGAAGTCCAGGCTGGGAGCTCTCAGTGACAGGCTCATGCCCCAGTCACTCACATCTGCCCGGACAAAGGCACCAGAGGGGAAGACAATCTGGACACGGGAACACAAAGATAGCATGTGTATAGCAATTGGAAACACGCAGTGTAAAGAATATCTATCAATGGAACTAAACACAATACCCATCATTGTAAGCATGCCATGTTTTTCACAAGCAATAATAATGCGGCACATTATTAAAAATAAATAGTTATTTTAATAGTTCATTAAAATAAACTTTTCATATTGATTACCAAAGAAATATCTTCAAAGTTGAGAATTGCAAATATTAATTCCATAGCTATGAAAGCTGCATTTCTCTCTGAACTTTACACGTAAAATGTCCATGATTTAAAACCACAAAATCTATGTACAATAAGGCTATAACTAGTACTGCACCATATGTGTTCATGTTTGACACCTCTGGACATAAAACTTTAGTTTTAGGTAAATGCTGATAACTTTAAAATGCCTTCAACATCTTTCATTATAACTGTCAAAGATTCAGAAAAAATCTATGTTGAAAATTTTTCTCAATATTTATCCCTATAACAAATCAGCAAAACACAGATATCATTTAAAATGTTTTTGGTGCAATGATGTCAAGCTTCTTATGGGTTTAATAAGGACACCATAAGTAACACATTTTACAATGTCCTGGGCATTTAACTGGTAACTTACTCCATGTTTGCTTTGAATGGATATGTACTGTAATATATGTACACAAAAATAAATTATCTCCTCATCAAAACTTATTTGTAAACTCCTACATAAAAAGATTATGACCAACTTTCATTAACCTCAGTGATCTAAGTTATGGCTACTGTGAAAGGGACTAGTCAGGTAAGATCAATGATAATAGAAAAAATACTGTGCTATTAGTTGTGACATTTCAGAATGTGATCTTTGTTTCTGCATTTATCCGATTATTTGAAAAAAAAATTAAAATGGGTAACTACCACGTAGCTTTCACATAGACCTCTTTTATAAGCTTCAGTCATGTTTTTCTGAAATACATCTTAGTACTATATATCTATACAATCTTCAGCTAAGTACATACAGTTATTTTTTTCCCCTGATGAGCCTCCAGGATCTTGATTTTGTCGGACGCGGCTGCACCTGCCCTCTTCACTGACAGGTGAGGCCTGCTCTCTTGCAGCTGTCCATTGCACATGTCGAAAACCACGATGTCATTGCCTTCTCTTGCCACCACTCCACAGTTACAGGACACAGCATAATGGCGACTCCCACAGTCCCACTGGCGGGCCTGAACTTCAAACTCACGGGCCAAACTTCTGTACAGCACAAATGTTCCTGTCTTGTAGTTGTCATAGCGCCTGCAAAGAGGACATGTGATGTGACATCTTCAGACCAAATTAAATGCAATGACAAGCCCGATGTTCTCCTTTGATAAGAAAAATGAAAGTTTAACTAATTCCAATAAAAAAATTAAAAGAACTGGTAAATATGATTTAGTCTAGGGCAACAGACAGGTATTCTCAAGAGAGGGCCATCATTCATAACTGCAAACACGTGAAAACCACACCCTGTAATTGAGTCATTGCCGATCAGTGTGGTTAGAGGCACTAAAATCCATCATTACCCTAAGGCAACCGCAGGTAACTTCACTCAGATGGGACCCTGTCAACACTCTGGAAGCAGGCCGTGCGCTATTAACACTGATACATTCATTATTTTAACCTTTTCTATAACAATGTATTCCCCATGCAACCACGAAATCCACAAAACAGGATTATTTTTAGATGCCTATTTACAATTGAGAGGGATATAACAAGGCGAAGAGTCTCCTCTTAACTGGTGTCAATAGCAGGACCAAATGCAGTGTTTGAATTCATCACAGCATTTCAAAGCCACTATCACACCCTCTGCAGCCAGAGGGCGGTCCTACTCTGTCCTGTCCCTAGTTTCCTGTGCTTTGCTCTCCTTCCGGTGTCTCTCTCTGGGGCTATATATTTCCAGGTCACTCATTCCTCTTCGCTCAGCATTGACATTCGGATGTCCTAAGAACCACCTAACATCCAGGTCGCCCCACATCTACTGCCTGAGTCCATTGGTTTCTATACGTCTCCTGAACTGCTGAGCCCGGGCTAAACCCCCGTTCCGCCGCTACGCATAAGTTCTTTTTCCGCTCTCCTGCCATTCCACGGTTCGTCCCTTCTGACATCCGTGGCAGAACGCTGAGCCTCCTTCTGACCCTGCGAGTGGCGCTTTTTTGTTTTTCCGCAGTTTTTCTTCTCATTACAGATGTAATTTCGCCTGCCATGCAACATTGTCTTCTCTGGTAGTACAACGTTGAGATCCCAGTTAGTTGTTACCCAGTAAACCCTGAAAACATCACACCTTGCTTGTTCTTGGACCCATGCTTTGTTTCCCGGCCATGTTCCGGGATCACGCCCTTGGCTTTGTTAACAGTGTGTCTCTCTTGCTTTGAACTCGGAATGGAACTTGATCACTACTCTCAGATTAGCCCTGTGCTTTGTCACTGGAATTGAGCCACGAAGCTTTGCCTGTCTTGGACTAGGAATATTTCATCTGTTTGCCTGCACCATGCTCTGGTTCCCCTGCTAGCTGCAGGAACACATTTGCCTGTGTGCGTGGCTTCTCGGAAGTCTCCAAGTAGCCTGCTCCCCATCTCCAGAGCGTATGATCCTTGCTCCCTCCGGTCTCAGTAACGCACAACTCTGGGCGATTCCCTGCATGCTGTTTGCAGGCTCCCCAACTCAGCTACCTCTCGCCTAGCACTTGGGTTCTCTGACATGGATCACACTCTGGGTCCCACCTCATTCATGACTGACCAGTGACTGACCATAATTACTAAACCAATCAAGAGTGAGTGACATGATTTGACAAAGGTGATCTGCTGAGTCAACCCTGGTAAGAATTAAGAAAAGCCACAGAAGTATTTCAGCCAATATGCCCAGTATATCAGGAGAATAATGCTTTTGTGCTACCAGTATGTTGGGCACATCCTTGTGCTGCAAGTGAAAGAAGGTCTTTTTTGTGAGACAGGAACGTGATAGTTACAGTATAATACTGTATGTCATGGAAGCCCTACCTGCCAGACACGAGCTCTGCTGAACATTCATAAGATGAGCTGGGATAACATGTGGCGTGTAGGGCTCAGATACCAGTGAACACTCACATGCTCATCCAGGCTTTATGAGAGGAAAGTGGCAGAATCCTACAAGACGTCCTGAGGTAAGTCATACATTGCACATATCCAGCTTTCTGTACATCAACAATCCTTCTTGGAAGTTTGTATTACTTCCAATAATGGCCATGAACACTACCGGCCTATGACTTTCACAGTAGGACTCCTTGTTAGTCAGCCCTGGTGATGACATAAGCTAAACTATATAATGGATTTACTTATGTCTTGTCTGTTTTTTAAAATGTCAGTACACCTCACTAAAATAATTTCTTATTTTCCTGATAATATATATGTGAATTATGCCATTTGCAGTTATGACTTCTGTTTTTGATCCTGTGTATATATTTTAGAAAATACATTAATACTTCAGAATGACTTGATCTGAAGGTACAGTATTACTCTCCCTTTAGAATCTAAGCTTAGCCGAAACAAAAGATAAAAGTCACAGTGCTCAGCCCAATCAAGTTTTCCTTGCAGAAACAAACAAAATGACAGGGTGTTTAGAAAGACTTATACTCAAGTTTTACAGATATATGGCATGAAATGTTGCTCGATTTTTTTAAAATCTGTTATAGAAATCTGACATAGGTCGATCTCATGGTATTAACAAAAAATATAATAATCAAAAGCTCATATTTGTTTAACTGAGATAAGAACCCAAGGGTCAGCGATCTCTTTGCATTGTAATATTGACCTACAGTGAGGGAAGCTAAATGATAGAACCTTTTCTCTTCTGATGCTCCACAAGTGCTTTTCAAATGTCATTTTTTTTGGTCTATTATTGCATCTGTAGAAAGATCCCTTCTTTCTGAAAACAGTCAATAATAATATCCAGAAAGAAAAGCAGAGGAAATTCAATCAGTGATGAAACATTTATGCAGCATTCCCTCTTGTTTTCTGTATTCAAATGTCATAAAGGCTTGAGAAACGTCCATTCAAACTTACAGTAGGAAAAAAAAACACAAGTCTTCAAAGGCTGCAGAAAGAGTCAAGTTTCAAATTGTTACCAGAGAGCTGTATGAATAATTACACTGTTAAAAAACCTTCTCATGTATTACTTAGTCCTTGTTGAGTGTGTCGGGGGGCTGAACAGACTAGTTAAAAAAACAAATATTTTTCACAGAAATTGTGTAAATTAATATTTCATACTTGTTAAAATTAATCCAGTTTTAGATTTATAAGAATCAATATTAGAATTCAGATGACAAATTTTCATTCCTAACATCCATTTTCTGTTGAAATATATGACTCAGATGTTACTCTGAATTACTTCTCTGTTAATGAGCTCTTACTAACCCGTACACTTGTTTGTTTATACATTCATAGAAGAAGATATAATTAACAAGCCAGTCTCACAGACAAACATTACTAAGATATTGAAACAGCAAATGCATGATTCCAGGCTGTACATTCACATTTTAGGCTTCACTGTATGTTTTTTACAGAACTCCCACAATGCAATCAATTTTGCGAGCAAGATGTGCTGAACAGTTTTTTATTTATGTCAACTTAAGTTAGTGTGCTACATTTTTTTATTTTTTTTAACCACAGGCTCATTAAACAAATCTTAACCAGCAATTTCTGCCAAAAATCTTTGACTGCAAGACAGGTAGGAAAAGTGTTCATTAACTTTGTCTGCATGGTCTTTACTTTGATTAGAAAAGGAAAAAAATTAAGCGTGATTTAGCTGAAACAGCTCTAAACGGTGACCTCAGATGAAACACTATATCAAGGAATATTATCACTATGCCGGAAATGTTATCTGACAGGAATACTTGAACAAGGCCACAAAAAATTATAATTAATACAATAGCACAGCTGAAAATGCAAACTAGCTTTAACTGTATTGCAAGTGTAAAAGAGGTATTAAAATTAAAGGGGACTTGATTTCAGTTATTTTTTCCAGACCATTAAATGCAGTCCATCTCAGGTTTGCAAGAAAACAGGACATTAATATTATCATAAGGAAGGCTAAGATTCACTGATCCGCTTACTGTAAACAGTTTGTGCAAGTTTTCAAAAATATATTGGAACCAATTATACCATCCCACTGTGCAAAGGTGACACAAACTTATCCACAAAGACTTGTAGCCAAAAGTCTCACCACCAAATATTCACTCATGGAAGTCAATACTTAATCAATTAATATATTGTAGTTTTTTTTGTTTTACTTTCTAGCTATTACTGACATTTAACTTCTTTCACACATAGGAGTTTTCAGTTTGAGCTTTCAAGTTTTGATGTAAAAGTTTCACTTTAGAAAAATGTGTACTGTATATATAATTTACAATCAACAAATCTGTTGAAAGGGTGACTGAATACCTTTGAAAGGCACAGTAAATACCTCCCTAAAAGAGTTATTTTAGCATAGTGTTCCTGTAAAAATTAATTGTAAAAGGTAATTGTAAAAACAGTGAATGACCCGAAATCCAAGTTGGCAACCTGTCAAATGTACAGTAAATCTGGGAGAAGGATGGGAACACTGAGCACGGCTTGTACTCAAAATGATGGATTACCTAAAGCTTTGTTCTGGGGGCACATGCAGCTCTGGAAGAAGTCAAAACTGATACTGTACCTGACTATGAAACTACCTTTGGATTTAATTTGGGCAGAATGGAGACCATAACCAAGACCATAACCAAGGCATGGGCTCACAATTTGTTATTGGTGGATATGTGAAAGTTTAAATTTCACATGGGTGTGACTCAGGAACATAAATGATCAAATTTATTTAGATTTATTGTACTATTTATGAAAAAACAATGAATGGTGGACTTAATTATTAATGATAGACTTAATGATAAGGAAAATCTCTAGGTTCTGATGTTTATTAGGTAGGTACTGTAAACCACTGAGCTCTATCCATTTTTATGGGGACAGTTCAGCTGTAGAGTGAATTATATTCTCATGTGATTAGTATAATAAATCGATTGCAGCAAAGCAATCACTCAAGGGAAAGCTGATAAATAAACAAACACATATATATTGTGGACAAACCCTATACATCTAAAGCCTATAATACTTTAGCCAGTAGCCTCACATTACCTGCCATCAAATGTAATGATATGGGGATCAGTTAAAGAGTAGCAATTTCCAGTTGGAATGTCCTGGACCATTACCTGAGAAGGAGAAAAACACAGCTTAACATAACATCACTGTCAAGATTAAAGGACAGGCTGTGGCTACTCAAAGGCTTTAATGTTTTCACAAAATACAGATGTGATCAACTGACACGTGGTGGGATGTAATTCTGACATGGTACCGTATTTCATTCCTTGCACTGGGATGTGTTTTTCAATTAGTGTTGCAGAGAGAAGTGTTTCCTCAGTACAGGATAAGAAACACACGGAAGATAATGGGGCTGATTAATCAGAGGTTGACAGCGGTTTGTTCTTGTTCAATTGAAACAGGTGATGGGAAAACATTGGCAGAAGCACAGTAAATGAGCTTTTAAGCAGTGCTAAACAGCTGTAACACAGGACAAGACACTTTTAAATCTGTGCCAGCTATTTGTTACGTGGTAATGAATGGGTTTTCACCGGCGTAAAGAACGAATTGGGAAATCAGGTACAGTACATGACTCACCCTGCTGTATTTCCCTGTCAGCTTTTCCCCAGTATATGATTCACTTCATTATCACATACTAAACAACTGCATGAACAGAACACAAACCTAAAGGAACACTGTCATTACAGGAAAACCACAAAAAAGCAGCCCAGACAATGCTGGTAATTTGACCTTCAAAGGGTTTGGAGTGTAGTTCCTCCAGAGACCGGGACTTCTCTGGTCAGGCTCTGCTCTGACATGACTGGCGCAGTTCCCGTCTCGAGTGAAGTCTGTCACAGCCGTCAGCAGCAGAGAGGCACGAGCACAGCTGTCGGCCTTACATGGGGTTTGCTCCAGATCCACCTGGCACGCTGAGAGAGCAATGTTTGGGGCTTCCAGACCCAGGCTGTCTGAAACATCAGCAGCACAGACCTTGTTAAGAGACACAATACAGCTGAAGGCAACCTACCCTGCAGGAACCCCAGCTCCAGTTGTGAGGGCTCACAAGAACAAATCTGCATCACGGTCTTGTGGTGTGCTTGGCAACTTGTTGAATAGTTTTGCACTCAGTATAACAGCTGTAAAAAGCACCAGAATTATTTTTTAAAGATGATAAAAATAAGAACGCATGCAATTTACAGTAATCATAAAGCCCCACTGCCAATTTTACTATGAACCAATTTTAAAACCAAAGAAGAGGTAGTGAAAAGTATTTTTTCACTTACAAAACAAATTTAGATATTTGTTAAAGTAACACATGCATAAGAGATGAGATAAGATTACTTTATTAGCCATATACAATTTCTTGCATTAGGAATTTGTCTTTTCGCATATCCCAGCTTGCTCTCCATGAGACACACAGACAGGGAGAGAAGCTTGGGGTCAGAGTGCACGGACAGCCATTTATAAGGGTGCCCCGGGAGCAACTGGGGTTAAGGGCCTTGCTCAGGGGCCCAACGGAATAGGATTCCTCTGCTGGCTACGAGATTTGAACTGGCAACCTCCCAGCCACAGGCGCAGATCCGCAGTGCCACCGTTCCGCCCAAAAGTACAAACTAAAAACTAAAAACAGTTCTGTGAGAATTCTTTTTTCAGTTTCCATCCTTTTCCCATGCTTCTTATTAAAAATAAAGTCCAATATAAAAGCCCATTCACACTTGGCCTCACAGAGACTGATCGCATGATGAAAACCCGACCTGAACCGTCTGTGCTCAGGTGGAGTCTGACTCGGCACTCCAGGGGCCCCCTGCTGGTGGGACAGGGGATGGGCACAGTGCTGTGAATCGTCACCAGGTGCTCCCGACTGTCCTCCGCAATCTGCAAAGACTCCGGCACAAACTAGGGACAGACGAAAAAATCGACATAATGCATATTTACAAACAGGAATGGACATCCTAGATTTTTAAGCACAGTTAATTTAAAAACTATCCTATATTCGTGCAGTACACATCAAGGTACGGACACAGAAATCCCATGTGAAGCCGTAGATCCATGAAATTGAAAGGCAAATGCTTTAAAATATTTATTTACGATCACAATTTATAACAATAACACTAATGTATAACATTATATTATATATATAATAATACTTCATACATACCTTAATCCCAGCAAAGAACACATCACTTTCTCGGGGTACAGATTGCATTTCAGGATAATCTCTTAAAAATCTGGAGACACTACAGGAAATCTATGAATGAATGTAGACATTTTATTAACTACACAGATGTTCGAAATCCCAATCCAAGACATAAGCCAAGCTTGTCTAACAATATCTGGAGAAATAATAATATGCTTTTGTTTTTGATATAAAACTAAAAATTAGTTTAATATAAATGAAGAAACATGTTAATATCTTTTTATATATTTACTCAACTGCATTTCTTTAGCAGATACTGCACCTGTGGTGCTCTGAGCTACAGTATATACTGTAATAAGTAAGTTACATTAAATCATTCAGAGTACAATATGTCCTAATACACTAACTGCAGGCTGCGATTCCTACTCTGAAATTTATTTTACATTTGATGGAGCACAAGCTAACAAAGTTGCACTTCACTCCAAACTAAACACTCTATGCTTCACTTGATTCATTGACATACATGGCAACTCATAGATATGATCCAGCCCCAAGAGATGAGCCTAGTTATTAATAAAGAATTACGTATACATTGTGCAGAAATCTGACATGAACACAGCAATGTGTGTGTACATTAGTGATAGTCCTGCCTGTCACATTTACATTTTCATAAGTCAGTAGTAAATTGTTTCATGAAACAATAGAACAATGGGACCATCTTATTTTTTGCTGGGAGTCTTCAGATATTTGTTTTCTAATTTGCCAGCTGTTTAAGACTTGGCTTTCTGATAATGACTCCCGTACAACACTGAGAGGGTGAGAACCCACAGACACACGCACTTTCTAGAAACACAGGGGTCACCAAAAGCACCCTGCCCTGGCCAGACTCTGTAGGACCCAGCTGTATCAGGATGTCTCTTGGTGAATATTCTGTACTGTGTAATACTTTGTATTAACTTTAACTAAAAAATAACAGATGTAATACAGTACCACGAAGGTACATTTTTAATCTTTACCCCTGTGTTATTAGACATATTTTCATGTTAGTCTCTGAAGTCTATGACTTGCATAATCATATTGAATTAATTCAAAGAGACTAATGTCAATTATTTCCAGATGAACAAAGTGTAGTATTTTCTAAAGGGACAGTGGTAATTTTTTACTCATGATTACTGATTTTCTATATGCTGAGGTTTAACAGATAAGTATGAAAAAGTCAGACCCACAGGTACTTGCAAGATATAACGGGCGTTTTACCATTATTGTGAGCTGTCAGTCATGTCATCACATACAATACACTGTATATTACTACATGCGGTACTGCTGTCACCACATACAGAATATGGTATCCCCACATAGAGTACTCTTGTCAATACACACAGTGTACAGAACCCCAATCATCACAGTGTCCAGTACTCCAGTTACCACACAGTATATACTGTATTCTCATATACTGTATTTATACTCTGAATCTCCCTTTCGTTTGCAAAAACACACTAACATGTAAACAAAAATGTGAACCTGGTATTGTTGGCACACTTTGCAAAGACAGTCAATTCTAAAGGTATCTGCAGCACTGTATTATTATAAAAACTTGAAGGTTGCTGGTGATCAAAGATTTAGTAGAATTAAATATCAAAAACATTTCGAAAGCTTTGGCTGCACTATGAAATACGCTCATTTGACTTTTTCTGTCTTCAAAAGAAATCCACGTGAATCTCTTCAAATAAGAAAAACAATGTTTTTCACTTTTTTCCACTACGTGATAGCTGGTATTGCTGCTTGCTTGTTGATTCTTAAAAAGTGGAGAAATATGAAACTGAAGACTATGAATTTAACACGACTAGCAATATGTAGCTAAAGCCACTGAGACAAATACTGTATTAAGTTTCACCAAATTAATAATACTCACATTTAAAATGTTAAATTACTCACACCAAAAGAAAACAAGTCATAAACCTGAAGAACCTATAATCTCATTGAATTTAAGGAAACATAAGTACCTTTTACTTGACCCAACTTGTCACTTTTAAAGTTTTGTGTACTCTTTCGTTTAATATACCTGTAGATCTGTAAATCGTGAAGGCTAATGAAAGCCATAACCAGCCTGCCCTGTACTATATCTCACTCCTTCAGAATGTTTGAGCATACCTTGTCCCCAAGTTTAAAATTCACTCCATCCATCTCAACAAGGGAGAACGTCTGCAGGGATGAGTCTCTTCTGATTTCCTCCTTCCTATTTAGAGATAGGTGCCGTGACCAGGTCACCAGGTAGGCCAGGGGCGAAGCGTGTGTCACACTTTCATAGGTACATTTCAGGTGAACAGTGTTGCCCATTAGCTCGGGGGTAATGGCTGGCTTCAAAGGTATGGCTGCAAGTCTTTCTATAAAATGAAAACAGTGTGCGTGAACTATTGAGGCATGAAAACAAAACTCACTGCAAATGAAATCATGATAGATACATTATTTTACAGCTCTGATAAAATCAAAGGGGTCCTAGTATTTGAAATACTCAAGAGCTTAAAATCCCCATAAGAACCAACCTAAGTGTTTTGAAAACATGACCTAATAAGTTTTTGTCAGACACTCCAAGATTGCTTTTAACTTATCTTCTAAAACCTGTGCAAACAATATTTACCATTAATTCGACAGATATACAGTACATGAACTACAAAACAGGCATTTCTTGGGTGCTTTGCATTAAGCATCCACATGTGCTTTACTGAAAATAAATCCCTATTACAAATGTGAATGGGAAAGAACAGGGAATAAAGATTTGCTGTTTTACCTTGACATATGCCGTTAACCTCCACCTCGCTGGCAAGGCATCCTTTGGGTTTTAATTCAGTTACCACTAAAGACAATAATAATAATAATACATTCAAGATACTTCCTTATCTTAGAACTGAAAATATGTCATCTTTAATGTTGGTAAAACAAGAAGAGATTCATTGTTTTCAGGTACACTGTTTTTTTTAAATAACAGCAACATTTCAAAACATTTTTTATACCTTACACATAAAGCAACCATATCCTGATGTTATACACACCCAGGTGGTGAACCTTCAGTATAAGATGAATAGGATGTGATGTCCAAACAAATCTGGCTCCTACAATAAACTATTAAGCATTTTCTGCTAATGAGCAGACACACTTTCCCTGCTCTCTGCTGTCAGAATATTGCAGGACAGTACAGCAGGCTGGTGGGTAAACTGAAGGATTCACTTCACATGATCAGTGAAGTGTTCAAGGTTTTTCTTTGGACATAAACAGATTTGGCTAATTAAAATCATCTCTTTCTAATTAAGCCACAAATTGTACAAATATAAGAATTCTGGATTATTTTTCTACCATTTTAGATAACAGACTCAAATTAATTCCAAATTGTATTAAATCTCTGCTTTGGCCTTACATAATACATGCTTTTTTCTAACCAGTTGCAATAGTATTTTGAACATGAGTATGAACCTGTTAAAATTGTTAGCAGAATTCTACAGTGTCTGATGAATGTGAATTTTCCATTTTCTGCATTCCTTAACACACTGCACAACAAGGCGAGCAATGAAAATTGCAGGTGATATTACAGTATATGCATAGTGAAATTGCTATCATTTTAGAAGTCCTTTGTGAATTTGTAAAGTGCTTCTTGTTTCAGTCCCATTATGGAAGCCGAAGTTAAATTCATTATTCTTTAGTACCTTCATGACTTTGATTCTGACCCAGGGAAACTTATTGTCTGTACATTAGTTTATTGTATCTCTGTACATTCCAATGCAGAGTCATCTGTTAAGCTTGTCTGTAAAGACAAGATGCCTGCTTGTCTCCAGTGTTCGCCAGTGACTGATCCCTGTGATCTGGGATCCCCTCCTTCTGGGCTGTGGAGCTGACGGGAAAGTCACATGGCAGGTTTCTGTAGCTCACGCGATGAAATGATTCTCATGATCAATCAAGTGTTATCATTCTTCTGGTTACATCTATTGCCTGAACAGTTCTACATTTTTAAAATGAAGTAGGGAGCTGCGTTTGCATGTGCAGGCTGCAAAGGAACAAGTAAGGGTTTATTTCATTGGCTGTGGAGCCTTCTTTAGGTGTGAGAGAGAGAGGAAAACTGGCAGTTGATAAAGTAAGGCAGAACAAATTATTATATATAATATATTTTTATCTATATTTCTATAGTTTTACTGTTCATACACAATATTAGTAGAGGCAGCTAGTATGTCCTCTATACTGTCACACTAGAGTGACAAAAGAGTTGTTTTATTTTAAACTTAACAAAAAATGTTGTAATTACAGTATATAATTATTCATGACTTAAAAAATTTAATGTTTCTGTGCTGTTACACTCAGTATAGCAGCAATTTCTCTTTCAACATTTTGAAATTTTAAGTGTCAGACATAACTAAAACTGTACTCAGTTTTGAACACAGTTTTGATTTAAAGTCTATTGTGTTGAATTTGTCAATGCCTTTCATTATTTTGAATAAATGTATCAAAACCTCTTGTATTATCTGTTTTAAACTAAAAAGGGTTGATTTCCTTGATCCTCTTAGTGTAGGACATGCGTTAAGCACCAAAAAGCACCCGGTTGCTGTTTCTAGACTGATGATAGACCAGTGCACCGATGTCTATCTTCCCCTGGGACATGACAACATACCAACACTCCTAACTTCTTAGCGTTCCCTGAGAGAGCGAACCTTGCTTCTCACCATCTTAGGCTTCCCTCCTAAAAGAACAAACTATACTGGAAACACCGGTCTACCACCAGTAGTAACATAAAGGAAATTACCATCACTCCAAACCATGGAGTCTACCCAGGGAAAGTGAAATGTGCTTCTCCAAATACATTTCTCTAATATAAACCAACTCCTTACCAAAGGCTGAATGAACAATGATCTAACCCAAGGTTTCTTTAAAATGTTTAAAGAGAACTTTTATTAAAACCAGCTGCAGTAGATCACTCTGTCATCACCTCAAACATACACCTGCACTCAACTTGCGTTCAAACAGACCACTTTCTCTTTAAATCATCCACAGCATAACCTTAAAGCTGCTCCCTAGACCACTAAATCAAAAAAGACCACTCAGAGAGACAGGTGCTCCATTGCACTTGTCCAGTTTCAAAACAACATCTCTTGATATACATTGTATGTTTTACTCTACAAATCCTAACATTTCTTTTAATTGCTTTCCCATATTGTCTAGAAGAATGTGCCAGTATGCACAATTCTCTCCCAATATCAGTGCTTCCCAAACTATATCGATGTCTCATATCTTTACCTTCTTGCATTGCTATCTGCATATAGTACACTGCACTTGTCTACATAAAATGTTATCTGCCAGCTGTTTGCCCAGTCTAGATTTTTTCTAAATCCTTTTGAATTTCATTTTATGATTCTATCGTATTTGCAAATCTTCATATTTTGGTATAAACTAACTATACCAGAATCTAGACTGCTGATATAAATCAGGAAGAGTGGTCCTAGTACAGACTCCTGTGGTACTTCACTAATAATTACTGTACTCTACAAAGTCTTCACCCCTTCTCTGTTTTCGCCATTTTCTATTAACCAGTTCTCAATGTGAACATTTTCACTACCCCCTTCATCAAAAGTCTTCTTAAAATCTAAATACACTATATAGTATCCTCTGTGCATGTCCATTAGTGTTGCTGCTTGCATAAAAAGGTTGAGATTTGTAAGATTATGAAATAATGCTTTAAAGAAAAGTTTATATCCCACTCCTAGGGATTCCTTTCACTTTAAGTAGTATAGCTTCTTCAAATCCAATTGTGTCTTATACATAAAGGGACAATGCACTAGTTATGCTTTGTGTTGCATTAAATGTTTAATAATCTTTGTCTAATCTCTGTGTTCTGAAGATGATTCCAGTATCATGATACTTGCAATTTTATATTAGGCAATCAGCAGTTCAGTTTTACAGTATGTAACTGCCCTTTTCTTCCTTTCAAATCAGCTACACCGTCTTAAGGATCTTCGCACCTGTCAGAAAACATTTTCTGTCCTTCTGTTAATGACAGCCATGTGGAAATTATAAATCTGGTAACGAAGGCCGCCACAGCATCTCAGTTCATAAATATTAACACTGTTGGGTGTCTGTCAGGTACTGTATGTAATTCTATTTAATTCCCTAAGACATACACAAAACACTTTTACTGATTGTGCTTTTATACATACAAAATGTATATTTGAGAACAAGGAAAAAGAATATTGGAGTGCAAATTAATCGAATATGAAAATGAAATAAAGTATAAAACTTTCCTAGGATATTCGACTATTACATGCAAATGTTGTTTTTTGCAATTGTGGAGTTCAGTGCTTAATATGGTTAATAAACGTGCCTCTACAACTTTCCCACACTGTCACACCTGGTCTTGAAAGCAATTGTGTTGTGAATAAGAACAGAATAAGCCAAAAGGATGGTGGTTATTTTCCGACTCATGTGCTTACACTGCTCCCTGAGGAGTTTTAAATGTTTGCATGTTTGAACTATAGTGCCTGTGGTGTTTACATTTGTATGTGTTTTTTTTATGTGATTATGTTGTACAGTATTTCAAATAGGTATCAAATGAAAAAAATCAAAGGAAAAAATTACTTTGCATTCCATTCTAAGCAGATAGTAGAAAGTTAGTTACTAACCACTCGAATATAAAATGTCTAGTGTCTCATCAGGTTGAACGGCCTTACCTTTAGCGCAGTAACCCATGCATCCTTGAGTTGGCTGTAAATAGTAAACAAAGAATTCCCCACAGTTTCGGACCGACACCGGGATTCTGAACAGACAACAGTCTTTCTTGCTCCCCAGAAAAAACTGCCAAGTGCCACAGGCAGACAGCTGTTTCACTTCCCCTCGGCGAGGCAGAGAAGCTTCCTGGGCTGAAAGCCACACAGGTGCCTGTGTCCCACACTTGTTCATCTGAGAAGAAGAGAATACTCCATTCCACACCTTTCTACTAATAACCAAGTTTATTAATCCTTTCAAAAACGTCAGGCAGAAGGCAAGCTAACAGACAGTGGAAAATACAAATGATCAAAAGTTATTTCATAATTAACAATCACATTAACACTTCTTACCACATTAGTTTTATGTAGTTAAAAAGCAGCACAGAATGACTGTGTAAGCTGCTCATTATATATCAGACCACTTCAGGTCATGGCTCTTTTTGAGAAGTGTATTTTCATTTTAACCATCAGCAAAGTGCAGTCACTGGAAAGACTTAAACCCCAACAGTGATCACACTATAATGCATTACTGAGTAATTTATTCATAAGCCAGACACAAAATCTGAGACTTCCTCACCTCAAAGTTACTCCAAGACCACACTCTATATCTAGAAATTCTCTAGAGGGAATCCAGTTTCTCAAAGAAATTAAATCAGCGATTCCTTCAAGTTTAAATATGTACATATCTTGTCCTAAGGTACCTTTCTTAACATCCTCTATTTTTGGACAACATTGGTTTTTAACACTAAACCCCCCTTCGCCTCAAGCATTTGAGTGATTGCTTAGGTAGGTGATGTGGGTTTCCACAATCATAACAAGCCTTTAAGTTTAACCGAGATGACAGACAAAGTCCTGGAGTGAACTGTACTTTCCAAGCATTAAATATTTCTGAACACTATTAAATGATTTATTTCATTTAAAAAACCCTCCAGCAGGTCTAGGGGCCTAATTAATGCAGATAAAGTGACTGGCCAAAATGATGCAAGACAATAATGGTATTCTGTAAAAGTGTGGAGTGTGCCTATCTATGGAATTCCAATTAAATAATTAAATAATTGGGGATTAAATAGCCTAATACGCAGAAAACAATGACAGGAGGCCATGGTGGGCCTTTGCTGCTGAATGGAGTTTCAAGGACAGACTGGCACCTTGGACAGACTGACACCTTGGACTTCTGCACATCTCTTCTGGAAAATGTCTTGGGATTCTGAACTTACTTCTACACATGTAGTTGGCATCTCTGCCGGCCTCTTATCGATCATGAAACGGTACCACCCAGCTGACAGAGAGTGGTCACAGATCAGGTCCTGGATCGCAGTGCGCTGGAGCTGAACGGAATCAAAGCTGACGCTGCGGTAGGGGTTCTCCAAGACCTGATGGCCACTTGGGTAACACTCTGGAGCTGAAGTGCAAACCATAGAAAACACTCGGTTAAAACTGCAATCACGGGCCTTCTCTAAATAAGGACATCGTTTCGTGAAATTATTGCTTTTTGTAGAAATGATTTGTTAACTCAAGCTTGGTTTTGATTAATGGTCTCGCACACTCCTCTTTTCTCATTTCAAGAGGTACTTGTGGGAGGTTTATATTTTGCTCTTAAGAGAAAATCAGTGCCATTTTATAAATCAATTTTAATATTTACAGAAAAAAAAACAGTTCTGCTCTGATAAACATTGTAGGGAACTTTTATTTTACTAATTGTTAACCACACGTGAAGTTTAAAAACAGTCACAACATTCCTACAACTTTATCTTAAAAAAAAAAGCAGAACAGGATTAAGACTTTTTACTATTGTAATTGAATATATTGTACAATACATGTGTTTTAGTGCCTGAATAAACAATCTTGTGGATTAACATGGGTTAAATGTTTGGTTCGGAAATGTTGATTGTAATTGAATATAATATCTGTAAAGTCTGTTGAGTGTGCCTTTATACATTTATGCACCTTTAATGGTTCAAAAAACAATCAATCACATGTTTTCTCTACAGGAAGTACACCTAGATTCAGCCTCACGCTGTTATGTACTGTAGTCTGGCTGGCAGTGCTCTAAATTCAGTGAAGTTCACATGTTAAACCCCACCTGCTGGGTTTATTTCATACTACATCGCACATACTGATATAGCTTTAAAAAAAAGGAAAATAATGTTACATCCAAAACAAAAATCTGCATAAACAGATTGTCATATTGTATATAATTGTCTCCAGAAATGTCATACTGCTTCAAGAGCACACATCATTGAAAATGACAACTCACCAGCATAGGAACTGCATTTGTATACTGAACTTAAAGGCAGGCTATATTCATATTGCCTTCTAATCTAAAGGAAATTTGTTAAATGATTGTATTCCCATTGTAATTTTCCCTTTTCATGTATGTTGAGCTTGCTACAGCTTCTAATGGATTCTTACCTTCAACTGTGCAACAACTAGTGTTGCGAGGCAGATTAGATCATAATGGATGAGTATAACAGGTCAATGATGTACATATGGTGGGCCCCACTGCTCACACAACCCGAAAGTGCCAGGGGAATTCCCAAGTGTAAAACAGTGGAAACATCCCACATACAGGCATACTGGTATACAGAGCTTCAAAACGATGCACTTCACAGCCAGATTGGTTATTTAAAGACTGATGCAGGAAGACTTCACATTTTGCTGTTTAAACTAAAAAATTCAAGACACTTAGGACCAACACCATGTGACACTATCATCATGATAATCGGACTCCAGTTAGACACACCACTTTCTGCTACAGTCTGGACATACCTGGACACCTCTCTTGGCCCACACCAGTCTGATATTTACTTGGCACACCTGATGGAAACTGTTGTGGACTCTCTACACTCAGCCTGAGCTGCCACCATCTCGTCAGTCTTAATCCTTCTTCGTCTGTCCAGTGCCTTGTCACTGTGCAGCACTCCTGTCAGCTCATGTTAACCAGGAAATTCTCGCTCTGCTCGGACCTGGTCTTGCTACCCCGCAGATCACAGATACTGTACCAGGCTACCTGGAGAGGTGGGTTCTCTGTCCTTCCACTCTCGATACACAAAGGTTCTGTCCCGAATCCATGCTGTTTTGTCTCTACACCCCTCTCAACCCCTCCTGTGTATTTTCATATAGTTTTTATACTAATTACACTCAAATTTTCCTTTTCCTCATACTGATATTAATGTCTCCTTCTGAGTCTCTGCGTGTCACGTGGTCATCTCCTCCCGGTGGCATCCCTATAATCTTAACTGAACCTCAGGAATCTGACTTCCTTCTTTCCCTTGTTCTTTGCTTCCCTCTGTGGACATCTCTCTGTTTGTATTCCTCTCTCCTGACTTCTTTCTCCCCCAGTTCCAGCACATTTCTACTACGGCATGATCCAGCCACTTCTTCCTGAGCCACATTCCCAGAAGCCAGCCCTTCCCTACCAGCTATTCTACACGACTCCTAATGCAGGCCCTGGTACTCTTCCACCCAGACTATTGAACCCTACTCTTTACTGGACCCCTAATGATACTATCTATGATGACCCTGCCTTGTCTTCCTTGCTTGTCTCTTGTTTTCCTCTGTCCTGCTGCACACATCAAGATCCTAGATATCTCCTACCATTTTCTCAGTCAGTCTGTCTTGTCTTTCTCTTTCCCTGCACTCCCTCTCACTCTCTCACTCTTCCACAGTATATCCATTCCCCACCAGTGCCACTCAGGGGTCAAATATCTACCGTCAGAAATCAGAACTGCTCAGTCCTTGACCTCCTCTCAGCACCTGCATGAGACTCATCTGTTAGACGGCACCTGTGATCTCTCAACTCTCGGCTACATCCTTCAAAATCGCTCATGCCAAACTGCCCTAATGTGATCATTTTTCAAGCTGGTAATGTCAATTGCTAAATGCAATTACTCACTGAAAAAAGTGAATATATACTGTACCAGCAGGTTATAGAAAATGTATGTTTTCCAAATAAAATGTCAAACTTCAAATAAAATTATAAAATGCTGCTGACATACTCCTACAGCTAATTGCCATTGAATATTAAAATAAAGTTTGGTTACAGTGTATATCATGTTTTTTTTTTAACTGTGTTCTTTAATACAGAACTTTAGCTTTAATCTGGAAAACAATTCAAAACACACTACAATGATTCACAGTGAAATCCTGGGAATGAGCAACCTGTGTCACTTATTCAGAACTAAAACAGAGAGAGGCAGAATATGACAAACTAAACATTATAAACATTTAATATGCAATTGCAGAAAACAGACATGCAAGAGTGCATATAACGCTGTAAATCTTTAGCGTGAAACGTTAAAATTGTACCCTACATGTGTAGATACCTAGATGTGTATAATGTTCACACACACAATGGCTCATGCCTACAGTAAAGACATTAAAAAGGAAGACCATTATGTTTATAAATTGCCTATAATGACAAAGCATCTTGCTTCTTCATTCCATGATCACTGAAAGAGAGCTGACTTCCCAACCATTCTGTTCTTCTTAATGAAAAACAGTTTTATTGCTCATTCTAAATGGCCTTAATGGGATTGTTATTCTTTTGATTAAATCAGTGTAAAAAGGTTTTAAAATCAGTCATCTCTGAAGATACAACATAATTTCTTTACGTTTGTGTTAAAGGTACCATTTGATCTTTAATCTAATTTATTCTCTGTTCTGTTATTGCCTATTTGTTTAACAATACTTCTAAAATGATTATGAAACACTTTTTTTACAATTATTAACAAAATATTGCTCCAGGGATCTGAAACCCTGCATTTAACTGAGTTAATATCATTCAGTATATGGTAATACAAAGACAACAGCTACTAAAATTAAACAAAATGTTTTAATTTACTCTCTATTTGCATAGGGGAATAAATGTAGGACTTGAACAGAAACTATTTCCCTATTTTAATAATTTTGGTGTATCTAAACATCTGAACCTAGTTCATCTGAGCTAAACAAAACATACTGTACATTATTGCTAAAAGATTTTGCCTGGCTGTTCTAGATAGAAAAATGAAACCCACAGTAACAGAAATGCTGAGATAATGGGTTCTGATGAACAAATAGTATCATTAACAACAGCAGCAGAGGCAACATGAAGAACAGAGGAATAGAGATGAGTGTGTGTCTGTTCTATAATAATTTTTTAAGGAAACAGAGGGTGAATTGAAAGTGTGTTGCTTCAAGGGCCAAAATAAGAGAGATTTAAGGAATACAGTTCCCTGGTTTTCCACCTAGTAGTTCTGACTCCTCAATGTGTGGATGAACTGAGTGAAGAGCCAGCAGAAATGCCAAAAGAACAACACAGGAAGTCTTCCCACATGGAAACATCTCTCAGCACAGCAATGTCTCATAAGATAGGGAGCTCCTAGCAGGACAAACACAAAAAATATAAAAGGGGCTTTTACATTATTAAACAAATATATTTTTTACTAAAACATATGTAACAATAAGTTATTTTCTAGTACAGACAGGAGTAATAAATATCCGATTTATTTGACTGTGTATCAATTGTGAAATGTAACACTTAAAATAGTTTTAAAATCTTGAAAATACCTTTCTCTTCAAAGAAAGCTGCAACCGCTAATTCTACAGTTACAATCTGAACACCCCGGCACACAATCTTTTATTGCTATTTTTAGAAACACTCTGAAGTAGAATTCTATCTTCTCAAATTATTCTAATTATTTTCTAAAATTAACTCATCGAGTGTCTTAACTTTTGCTGGATTCAAATGTGTGATAAAAATAGAGACTTGGAAAATAAACCACAGATTAAAAAATGCTAATAAGCACAAAGACTGCAGAAGCATGAAGTTAAACTCTGCCAACTGTCATTAGTTCCATTCAGGCAGAGACGATGATGAAGTCAACACTGAGAAGGAGGACTCTGGAATGAGCTGTTGAACAATACAATACATACAGATAACCCCTTCTTCCCTGAAGCTGCTCTTAGCAAAGGTCACCATAGGCAGTGATGTATGACGTTTTCCTTATGAGACTCACTGAAGGAATAAGACCAAAAATAGAAACCTGATTTTACAGACAAAAGCCTTTCTTGCTTGTCACTTCCTCTAGAAGTGTACTTCTCCTTATGTCAAAATACTGGGCCGAACACCTTTTACTCAAAATCATTGGCCTCAGTCAGGAGTTACCTTTATACATAATTCAGCTAGTCTGCAGGGAATTCTATTGTATAATCAAACAGATTTCCAAGACATTAGATGCTGCTGTCCTGTTATCCACTGATGTAGTGCAGTAACAAGGTAGTTGGAGGCCACTTGTCTTGCCGCTTGTGATCGTGTGCCAAAGCACAGGAAAGAGGGAACAGACAACCATTCTAAGCCGAACCACAATACAAGATTTAAACTTTTTAAACAGAAAGCTTCTAACTAGTAATCATCAACTC